TGAGAAAAATTCTTATACGAATAATAAAAAAATCTAATAATCGAGTCTAAGCACTGGATTAGTGCACATAAACTATTAGAATCTTGGTTGTTGTTACACCTTAATTGTTGATTGTAATAATTGTAAGTTCCGTTGATTAAACTAAACCCTCAGGCAATTTAATCTCAACTTTGTTTCTCCTTTTTTTTCCTGGTTTGTAACTCTATTAATACAAAAAGAATAGAAAGTTTTGTTGCTTCTCTCTCACTATTAGAAAACTTTCAAATTAACATTAATAACCCTATGATTTAAATGATAATGATGATAACAATTGACGACATTTGGAAACCGGAACTAGTTTATTGTATTAATGGAGCAGAAAAAATCGCAACTTCGATAAACAAATGAAATGAAACAAAAAAGTTTCTCAGTTTGTTGAAAATAAGAAAAAGATGGAGCTACTTGAGGCATCGAACTTGCTTTTAGAACAATTCGAGTTCACTCTCTAAAGAAAAGTTCTAATTTACTTCGAATAGCCATAAGATGATAAAGATGATAAAAGAAGATGAAGAAGAAGACAGAATGAGATAATTTGTTTTTCATTTCTTCTATCATTTTGTTTTCTTAATGATAATGGTAACGATTATGATAATAGTAAACATGAAAAAGTGATTACAATTAAAGTAATCGTCCATTGTAATTTAAATTTGATTGAACCGGAAATTAGTGTTGATCAGCATGATTAAAATGAATACTACAATTGTTATAATGATAATAGAGAGACGAGAGAGAGAATCAAATTAATGATTGATGATAACTATGATTATATGATAATCAAGTTTCACTGAATTACCGATTCGACCCACAATTTGATACAATTTACCAAATGAGTTCGTGTCGTCAATCAACATCATTAATTTAATTGTCCATCTCATAGATTGTTTATTGGTCAACCAAATTAAAGTAAAACTTTTATGAAGCTTTGGTTGTTGATGAAATGATTAAAGTATCACTTTCATTTTTTAATCTATTTTCATGATGATGATGATGCTGATGATTTAATCAGTTGGTTAATCTTGTTGTAGATTAATGAAAAAAATAAGATTAAAACTTTTTTTTCCTTGATTCTTCATCAATATTTTATTATTATTATCATTAAATTGTTGCCATTTCAAATGATGGAAATAGATTGTTGTAGTTAATAGTTTAACGGTAAATTAAGGTATCAATTTAATAATAACTTTGGTTGATTATTAATTCTGATCAATCTAAAATTATAATCATAATCTAAATCACGGAAAATTTAATTCTGTTTTTTCTTGTTGTTGTTGTTATTGTTTATCGTTGATTTTGATAGTTAAACAGAAAGTTTTTGTTATTACAATTAATTGAAAGCGATTAGCTCAATTTAAATGGAAAATTAATCGTGAAGTATCCGATTATTTGATTATCGCTAATCAAGTGAGAAATTCAATCGATTATAATCAAATCAAGCGAAAGGTAAAGGGTTAAAAGGATTAGTCTTGAGATGGAAAAACTCAGTTCTTGTGATCTTTTTCAAATCGATTCGATCAGAGAATCGAAGTTGACTCGATAGGTTGGATAACTAATTTATCTATTGCAGTTAATTAATTCGTCGGTTAGTCGAGTCGATTGTCTTGCTGACCAATGGTCAAGTTTTACGTGAAGAGAAAAAGTCGAGAGAAAAAAAGATCGATCTTTAAACCGGAACTTGAGCTATAAAAACGAACACCTGAGTCGATTATTCTAATCTTAGTCTCACAGTTCCTACTGGTTTCAGATTCGATCAAGACTTTACCTCCCACCACCACGATCTCTCCTCTTGTTCCTCTTCTTCCTCATTTTCCCACCTCGATTACCTTAAAATTGACTCGACGAAAATAAGGTAATAATAATAATAATCAGAACTCAATTAATATTAATAAGTAAAAGTAAATTAATACAACTGAACATGTTTGTGTTTCTAATGAACTAAATCCTTTTTTAAACCAACCAAACCCAAAGTGCCGTCGGCAGTTTACCTAATCACTAATCGATATAATCAATTGATATTTGATTAGAATGAGCAAAAAAAGGGAAAATCATTTTTATCTCAAATCAAACAATTAGTTGGAAAAAAACACTTACAATTACAATCACAATTAGCTAATCATCATCATCATCATCATCATCTTCTCATCAATTGATGCTAATTAGATAACATAATATAATGTTGATAATTATGCTCAATGAATTAATCATAAAAATAGACTCTCGATTTGATGAAAGTAAATGAGAGCAACTTAATCTTTGTCTTTCAATATTGTTGTGAATGAGGTGACTTTCCATTTGTTTAATTGCGTTGATTAATTAATTTAATTTAATTTACTTTCTTTTTATATTTTAATCCACACACACACAAACATAATTGTAATCATACCCAATTTATAAATAGTAACCACTAATTTATGTGATCGAAAAGAGTTAATTAAGTCTAATCAAGAGAAAAGGAAATGACGAATGTAATAATTTAATTTAATTGTTCAACTTGAATTGTTAATCATAATGAGAAAATTGAAATGACACCAAGTTAATACTTGACAATTATAATGTAATGTTAATAACAAACTAACACTTTCTATGGTTAGTTAATTGGTAGATTGTTTAATTGTTGTAAATAGTAATAGTATTAGTAATTAGCATGATTATTAATGATTATGTTTTCTTTCATAATGGAAAGTAATTTATTAATAAAACAATTGAATTAAAATTGAAAAGGTAAAACTAATGATGATGATAATTTAAATCACTCACGTTTTGGATTTGAACAAGTTTATTGTGTTTACTTGACTATTTACTTTCTGATTGTGTTCACTCAATTAGCTTGATTCAGTTTAATTGTTACTCCTTTTTGATTGTCATTTAACTGATTCGTTTGATTCTGTAGCTGAGTTTAGAAAAGCTCGACGACCTTTTTTCTTTATCGAACCAATTTACATATCGAAAGAGCTTATGAAAGAGCGAAAGTCGATTTCAAGATGACGATCGATTCTCAACATCTAAAACCAAACCTTATTGCGACTATTGAACTTAAACATCAAATCGAACGTACGAAAAAAAAGAAAGAAAAAAAAATCATCTCTCTTTTCCTCACTCTTTCTTTTTCTAATCCTCTTTCTTTTCTTCTTTCTTTTTTCTTTCTTTTCCTCTTTCTTCTGCTTATCTTCTCTGTCTTCCATCTTCGATCATCTTTTATCATCATTGTCATTTGTCTGGCTTGATGAGCAAACCATTTGATAGAGTTTCGTTAATGCCGCTTTCGTAATATTAGAATTACGATTTTTTCGTTGCAACGATTATCACGATATCGTTGATGCCTCTTTTAGCATCTTCATCTTCATCTTCATCTTCATCTTCATCTGCATCCTGATGATCATCACTTTCTATCTCTTTCAGGAATCTTTCTTGATGATGATCACTTTTTTCTTCATCTTCCTCCTTTTTCGCTCTGAATATCTGTTGATTGTTTGGAAACTTTTTTTGGTTACCTGTTGATATTTGATCAACAATAACTTTCACTTAGTTTGTTTATTGTCCATCATCATCATCATCATCACCATGATACATGTACATGTACATCTCAATGAGAACTGTTTTCATTGTCTTAATTGATTTGTTTTCATATAAATTGAGTATTTATTTAGTTATTTTCTGAATTATTATTCAAAAATGATAATGAAAATTTGTTTTGTTTTGCTTTTTGTTTAATTGTTGTTCATCATCAAACAATAATTGACAACAATCAGTTGTGTCACTAAAAGTAAATCACTAAATTCAGTCGAGAATAACAATCCACTAACAATTAGAACAAGAAAAAGTCATGTTCGTATCTTATTAATGATAAAATAAATGATATGCTCAATGATGATGAATTCATCATGATTATCATGATGATGAAACTGAATAATCAAATAAAAAATTTAACGCTAATAGTTTATTGCTCAAAAAAAGTAACAAAGCTTTCACTAAATTTGTAACAATTTAATGACAATTTAACATTTAATTTAATGTACTATTAGAAGATCAATTCATGGTAATTGTAATTAAACTTTTTCACAATCAAATTCTGATTGTTAACATTAAATTATTTCAAAAATTGTTCATCAAAAGAAGGAAAAAAAATCTTCCTGAATTTCTGATCCCTTGAAAGCAGATCAACAATCAAAGTTGCAAGGGTGTTGATATGATGACGAGAGTAAATCAGATAATTTAATTTGATGACAATCATAATTGGAATGAAATTTAATACATTGTAGTTGTAATTGTAAAAAAAAACAATTAATTTACTTCCCATCATCAGTGAGACTGAATTTTAATAGCTATTGGTCATCGTAATCATTTTGCTGCTTAAAAATAATGGTGATGATGAAATAAGATACAAAATTGACCTCTCATTATAATAAGATGATGGTGAGACCTGTTTTCAAGATGATTTGCTAAACCAATTTAACTAAATTGCTTCTGAATTGTTTAAATGTAAATATAAATATAATCAACAAGATATCCAACCTTTTACCGTCATTATCATAAGCGATTCAGGTCACTTTCACGTCCGCGACCATTTATCATCATCAACAAAGAGCAAGAACTTTCAGTTCATTTACGCTCTCTCTCTCTCTCTCTCTCTCTCTTGGTCATTAGGATCAAGTTTATCATGGATTCAAATGGTAATTTGTATGTCCGAAAAACTGTCAACAATATGATGATATGAATCTTTGAGTGGTCAGCTTAAAGTGGATGAGAAAGAGGTGGTTGATCGCCCGCGGCGATTATAAGATCTACTTGTGTTTACTTTTAAGATTTGGGTGGATAATTAAATGATTGTATCATATTATTTACTATCAATCGCTGAATGAGGGGATAAAATAACTGTAGGTAGAAGGATGAGGAGAGAGAGAGAGAGAGAGAGAGAGAGAGAGAGATGAGGATGGAGATAAATAATGTTTGTGACAAGCAAATGATGGAAAGTGTAATATTTTTAATGATGTTTGCAGATATATTTTTACAATCTACTCAATATGTTAATATAAAAACAAAAAAGTTCACTAAGGAGGAGGAAGTGGAAGTGGGTGGGGAAGAGGTCAAAGGTGATTGGGATTTTAGCTTTTGTTTCGTTTGTTTTGCCTTGCTCGAAATCGTCGTCGTTGTCTTGATTAACTGGACATTCCCTTGTTGCTTTCAATTTGATGGTCAGTTGGGAGGTAATCAGATTAATCGATTGGTGTTTGTTTGCATAATTAAAAATTACAATTTACTTTTACAATTGCAAATCTAATTAGTCAACAAATCTTTAACCTTCATCATTAGACTGTATTTGTTAATTGAACAGGTCAACAATTAATTGCTCAATGATCCGCTAATTAGCTGACCAATTGGCAATGGTCAATGAGGAAAAAAAGTGATCTTTTTTTACTGTCCATGTTTAATTGTTATTCTTAATTTTTTTATGGCAAATCAATTAACCTTTGCAATTGATAATGATGATGATTTGAGTTGTTGATTAACAGATTATCAGAAATTGATAGGATTAAAAAGGGAGAATCAGATTAAGATTAGTGATGAGAGAGAATTGGAAAAGTTTGAAGAAAAAAGAAAAAAAAATTAAAAATGAGAGTAAAGGTGAGAAGTGATAAAAGAATTCAGGTAAAAAGAGAATAGAAAAATTCTATCGATCATTTTATCTTCCATCTTTATACATTCTCTTTCATTCTCATCTCATTTTTCTTTCTTTCTCTTCTTCTTCTCATTTGCATATCTTCATCATCTTCTTTTCTCTCTTCTCTTATCATTTTCTTCTCGTTTCTCTTTCAAATCTCTGTACATTTACAGCGGATGATGAATTTGAAGTTATTGTTATTGGCATATTGTCTCTTGTGTTTCTATTAATTACTAATTACTAATTAGTGTTAATTATTATCAAGAATTAAGGGAATGCATGGAGAAAGTTTTGAAAATATAAAAATTCTGTTCTCTTTTCAGAAGAAAAAGAAATCATATTTTTTGAGCTTGGACTCAATCGGTTTTCTTGATAATAATTGGAACAAAAAAATTGATAATTAGTAGATTTTCATGTTTGATCTTATAAAGCATTTTGATCTGTTGATGATGAAAGGTGAGAGAATCGAGGAAAAAGAGTATTGGTCACCATGGTTGTTGATGATGATGATGATGATGGAGATGGTGATGAGTCCAGTTAATTGCATTCCAATCAATTCTGATTTCTTTTCATCTCTTTCTTTTATCATCTGAATCAATTTATTTGTTGATGTTTTTACTACAAGATTTTTTTATGTTTCTTTGATGGTTTGTTGATGATGATGTTTTTATGTATATTTATGATGATGAAAGTGTTGTTGTTGGTGTTGATGATGGTTGGTGTTGCATGAAGTTAAAAAAAGGGGGTGAAGATGAAGGATGCATCGATGATGGCGAGAGATGGAGTGTGTTGTGTTGTGTTGTGTTGTGTGTTTGTGTGTTTGTGTGTTGATGATGATGAACTTGGATGAGGATGAAGTGATCATCTAGTTCTTGCTTTGTTCAGGTTTGATTGGGGTGTTGGGGGCAACCTTTTGCTCGTGTTGTTGACTGGCAGCGGCCTTCCATGCCTCGTATGAGGGTGGGTGGTAAACTGGCTTTTTCTTAATGTAAACTCTGTTAGATTAACGGATTAATCAGATTAGTTATTAATTACAATCCATTTGGTGTTGATGTTGTTTTTTTTTCATCCAAGTTGATTGTTATTCACGTTTGAATACCAATTAAGTCGAGATGTTTTTTTTTCGCAGGCGGGGTTGAGATTGGAAATGAGTACAACATCATGATGATGATGGTGATGAAGATGAAGATGAAGATGTAATAAGTTGATGAGGATAAAGTTAAAAATAAAGAGAGAGAGAGAGAGAGAAATGATTAGCAAAAAGATTAGAAAATATGAATGAATGAATTTGAGGGGAAAATTGATAAATGTTTTTCCAAGAAACTGAAATGAATGAAATTTAGGTAAGAATGCGAATTCGTACAAATCTCGATTGAACGAAAAAGAAGAAAAAAAAAGTTGTTCTGATTTAGTTTAATTCTCTATCTCTTTTCTAATCGTGATTATCTTTCATCATCATGTTTTAATCGTTGTTCTTGTTAATCGGCATGCGAATAGCAAACGGAACGACTAATGGTTCTTTCCGTTTTGATCGGTTAAAAGTGGGCTTCATATTAAGAAAGCGGTGAGATTAAGAGAGACCTCAATTATTAATCTCTCTCTCTCTCTCCCTGTTTCCTGTAAATGATGTCGGCTCCTATCAGAATGGCCTAAAAGATGATCGCTTTTAACGATCACTGAAAATACGCTAAATGTTAATTTAAGTGAAATTTTCTCGACTATCGTTCTAATAGTGATCTACTCTGGGTGTTTGATCGTTTTTCTTATGTTGATGATTATCTTTTTTTCTTCTTCTTCTCTTTCTTTTCTTATTCATGTTGATTTTTGCTCCTCTTTTGCTACTATTTCTGTTCATCATCATTATCATCAAATGAGGCTCAGCAAAAGAATCAGGTATGTGAGTGAGAATGAGAGAGTTGATTGGATATTGCAGGTAAGTCAAGAGTGAAAAGTGGAATTAAATCAAGCTCCAGTTACTATTGCCTCTTATTGGTTACGTTTTCTGTCTTATTCAATCTCACTTAGAATTGATTGTTAACTGTTACTATTTGATTGTGATTGTTGTTGATTTTCAGTTTTTGCTTCTCTTAGTGATGAGCTTTGATTCTCATCAATGAGTCTGTATTCAGCTCATGTATTTAAACATTTTAGCATCTTCATCATTTTCATCTCTCAAATCATTAACTGAGATCATAATCATGGCGGAATAAAAAGTTTTAACTAATATTAAAAATGATTAATAGTAAATAATGAAAACACTTTGAATATGTTTACAGTTATCATGATGATGGAAAATTAAGATGAAGATGAGAGTGAAAAATGGATGCGAGTCAACATCTCATGTTTGATATTGGTTATTTTTTATATTCGAAACTTTTTTTTGTTCTTTTTTATGTTCTACTAATTGTTGATAAACTATCACTAAAATAGTTAGTTGAGAGAGATAGAGAAAGTCTCATAAAAAAAGTTATCATTCAAAGATGCTAAAGGTTATGTGATGATGAAAAAGATGAGGATGATTTCTCTTTTTTCGTACTTTATCATAATCTCACTATAATTATCATCTTACTCTTTATCTTTATCATCTCCATCCTTCCTCTCTCTCTCTCTCTTGCTCTCTCCCCTTTTCGGTATCTTTCTCTCTTTCTTTCCCTCTTTCTAATTTTCTTTCTACCTGATTGCTGTACCCACGAAAGATAATTTTATCCCGAACAAGCGCTTTGACCCAAAAATGGGTCAACCAATTTTAATCAAATCTTTTTCTCTCTCTCTCTCTATAATAAAGAGAGCTAAAGATGATGGAGATGAAGGTGATGAGGGTTTTTTCATCTAACTCTCTTGTAAAGATAATTTTATCTCTTCTAATCTTCATCACGAGATTATATGTTAATAGATTTGCAATAATTGAGACACTTACGGAACTGGGATTTGAACTGGCTTCTTGACGATCACTTCCTTGTAGACTGGAACCTTAACTGGAACCAAGTATGGTTTGGGAACATGGATGATCTTGTGGACTGGGTATGGGTGAGGTTTGGGAACCTTAACTGGGTATGGGACATGGACAATCTTAGCGACGGCTACTGGCTTGAAGACTGGGACTGGATGATGTTTAATAACTGGAACTGGAACTCCAACTGGGTAAGGCTTGGCGATTGGCACTGGCTTGGGCACTGGAATGTGTTTAGCCACTGGGATAACCTTCTTAATCTACATAATAATAGATTATCAATGAAAGGAGAAAATTGAATCAATAATCATGAAACGATAATAAAAGAATTTCAATTGAAATCATTATCATTATTATCTGAAAGTACTTACGGTCTTGTAGACTGGTACTTTTACTGGAATATGAACTGGATGTGGAACGGCGATGGTCTTTGGGTATGGAACAATTTTTGGAACTGTGATGATTTTTGGAATTGGAACGTGTTTTGGGATATGGACAACTTTGTGGATAACTTTGACTATCGGTGGTTCCCATCCCCAATCATTTCCCAAGGAACCCTTAATAGAAAGGGTGCCCAAAATGAGCACAAGAGCTGAAAATTGCATAATTCCTTTAAATGGTGAACCAATTCGAGAGAGAGAGCGCGAGGAAAAACAGTCAAAAATAACGGAGTAAAAGAAACGTTGGTGATGATGATGGAGACGATGATGAAGTCGAAGTTATCGTTGAATAGAAATAGCGGCGAAAGAGAGAGAGAGAGAAAAAAAAGATAATAAACAAGATTAATTATAAGTGATAACTTGGGTTCGGTTTGAGAAACTGAGTTTAGAACTTATTGAACGTTATCGACGTCAGGCGCCGATAAAACGATAAATTGTATTGAGAATACAAAGAATAAGAAAAAAAGTTGTCACAAAACAATAATAATAAAGGTTAATGAGTTAGTGAGAGAGAAAAAGGGAAAGAGAGAATGGGAGAGAGAGAGAGAAAGAGAAAGAGTTCAGTTGATTGTTAGTCGATTTTGGTGATTGGGTTATTCAGGTGAGAGACTAAAGGGAAAAGGGAGAGATGGAGCTTAGGTGTTGGTGTCGATGATGTTTGTCGATATTGTTTATAAATGATTGTTGTTATTTACCTAAAATATGATTATAACCAAACGATTGACTTGATGCTGGTGTTTTCACTTTAAGAAGCCGAATGAGTCTCATCAACAGGTATCTCTCATCTTATATACTATCTCAGGTACTCATGACTCCTTTTTCTGATACAGTTTACCTGGCTCCCTCCTTGAATCGAATCATAAACAAGAAAGAGGATGAACATTAGCCAACATTCAATCCCTCTTACTACTTTCCCGTTCTCTTACTTTACTTACAATTTCTCTTTCTTTTTCGCTTTTTCTCTTTTTCTTTAATTTCTATCAAATTATTCTAACCAATATTATTCTTCAGGGCTTCTTCTTCTTCTTCTTTTTTTCTTCTTCTTTATCATCATTATCATCCTTGTCTTCTTTTCCTTTCTCTTCTTATCTTTTCCCTTTCTTTCTTCCTCTCTCTCTCTCTCTCGCCATAAAGCGCTAGGCTTAACCTAATTTTTTTCTGGTCTTTTTGGTATCAACTTTTACTATTAATCAATAACTAATTGCGATTAGATAAACATGATTAGCTAATCGATAAAGTTTTTTTAGATTAACCCATAGGTGCTTATTGGTTATCCTTTTTTTATCAATATTGGCTAATAGTAGTTGAGCATAACGGTAATTATACAATAAAAATATTAATAATAAGATTTGGATACGATAATAATATTCACCCTTAAGGAAGATTCAAATAAAAAATTGTTCAATTAAACCTGAGACTCTGATGATACACTTTCTCAAAGTATTGATTAAAAAAACGCTTCCCTCAGGCTATCGACATGATTATTACCATCGAAGTAATAAAAAAAAGTCTCTTAATCAGTTAGCCAAATATAATCACAAGTTTAATCAATAAACACAACAATCAACATCCAAATTATTATTATTATCTCAACAATTTAAATCTAAATCAAATTAAGAAATCGAAAGTTTTTTTTTCATATTAATCAACAGGAAAAAAAATCCAATTGATCAACTCTAATTAACTGAATTAAATCAAATCAAACCAAATCAAAATTATTTTAATATTTATGTTCATTTTTCTGATTTTAATCAAGTGTTAATTAATTGTGTTTCAATTGATTGATTTAAACAATCAAATTATTAATATTACAATTGATCCTCATGTTTGATTGTTATGATTATTATTTAATTGTCACACTTGATATTATATTAGCAATATTATTATTTATGATTTAGGGTTCTAATTGTAATTTTGAGAGTTAATTGTTGATTGTTACTCACAATTAAAAGTAAAATTTGATATAATTTATTTAATTTTCTTCTCTCTCTTTATTTTAATCTAATTATCTAATTGAAATGTTGATTTCTAATTGTTAATCATCGTTAATTATCACAATTCATTCATGCGAAGGATATTAATAAATCTAATTAATTGTTTGATCATTTGAATGAAACAATTAAAACTCTCAATCAATAACAGGAAATATTTATTCAAATTGTTTGCTTATTGTTTGCAACCTTATCTAAAATTTAATCACAATTAACTGGTCAGCTTTTGATTTGTCCAGCTAATTGTGGTTATAACACTTAATCAACTGTTACAATTTACTAATCAGAGACTTTGATTTCATCATCTCAATGATGATAAACATCATCAGGATTAAGTTAATCTTTTGGGAAAAAAACTTTACAATTAACTAATTCAGTTTTAATTAATATCTTGATTAACGATAGTGATGATGATCCACCGCTATTAATAATGATTCAATTTGGGTTTTCTTGGTAACAATTAACTGGATTTAAATTAAATATCAATTTTTCCCTGTACTTTATTATCGAGTGACAATTAAGTTAAGGTCAAGCTAATTATCATGATAATCAATTAATTAAGTAAACCACAAGCTCCGTTAATTGTGTTACTGTTAACAGGATTAATTGATTGCGGTTAACTGATCAATATTGGATTGGAATCATTTAAATTGTTACATTGTTAATAGTAAATTTTGGTTAATCAATTGTTCATAGTTGATCTTACTCAGATTTAATTGTTAGAATCAACTAAATTAAGACTTATTAATATTCACAATTAAGTTTTTCTCTTTCATAATTGATTACAATTAGTGTATCATTTTGATTGACTGTTATTATTATCGTTGTAAGTTAATTGTTATTAACGATTAGCATAATTTTCATTGCTCGTGACATTTAATTTAGTTAATCATTTGGTTTGATTAAATTTTATCATGATTTAAAATAGGAATCAGGATTAATTTGGTCAGAAAAGGATTTATAATCATGATTATAATGATAATTGTGATTAACCTTATAATCAGTTAAGCCTCAAACTTTTGTCAATTTACTATTAATAACAATTAATTGTCATTATCATCAAACAATTTAGTCATAAAAAAAGTAATCAAAGTTAAGAAAAAGTTTCCATTCAATTGAAAGCTAAAACAACAATCAATGAAATTAAGATGTTACAATCAACAATTAGATTGATTAAAAAAAACTAACAATCAATAACCAACAAGTTTGATCAACTTTAAAAGATTTTAGTTTTTTTAAATCTTAATCAATAGCAATTAATTTTTGAGGTACTTGATTGTTGATCCTCAATATTTGCATAATTAAGATAATCCTCATTTTAACCGTCAACAATTTGACCATTGATTGTGATTAACAATTGATTAGTTGATCAAAATGTAAGACAGTCAATGATAAGATCAATAGATGTCTCAATAGTTTTTGCCTCTTTTTTTGAGCTAATTGTTTTCATTTTAAACAGTTAATCATGATCATTATCATTGCAACAATTATCTTTGTTCATAAAAATATATTTTGATTGCGATGCTGTTGATTAGTTGATTATCATTGATCAATAATCGCTAATCACTGATCTTTGATGATGTTGGTGCTTGTTAATTGCTAAAAATATAACAATAGGAAGCCACAACCAACACGATCAACCCAATCAGAGAGTAGGAGTTACAATTAACTCAAATAACATTTAATTTACATGTACCAACAATTAACAATTAACCAAATTGTTTATCTTCCCACTTTCACCACACAAACACAAACAACAACGACAACAACAACAACATGATCAACAACAATATCCCAACAATTTACTTCCTTCCGATAATTGAAATCCAATAACAATCAAAGTATTTTTTTTTCTTTCTTTTCTATCAATTGAATTAGATTATTAATCTGTTACAGTTACAAATATGATTATGATTATTATTATGATTATCTACCTGTTAATCCCTGTAGGCAGTGAATAAGTATTAATATGATGAGGAAAAAGGTAATATTATCATCGTTATACCTTAAGGTTATTTTTTGGTTACTTTTAACAGGTCAAAAGTGAAACTGACCCAGTCTTTCAGGGTATGAATCTTTATATTAATGAATATTTACCTGAATGTTTTACTATTAAATCAGATTATCTTAATTATATTGAAGAAAAGAAGAAGATGTTTCCTCGAAAAATGATCAATCCTCCTTTCGCCACTTTCTTCACCTTTTTTTCTTCATCTTCTTCATCTTCTCATGAATCCGATGATTGACCAGGATCTTAACTGATTAATTTGATTGTCGATTAATTGAATGATCGAAAAAGGGAAAGTTTAATGACCTAATAAGCGATCGATTTGTTTTTTTTTCTCTAACGCCATCAAAACTTAACGATTATTACGAACTTACTATTTTCAGTAAATTTCGAGAATTTATTTTTCGTTCACAAAATCGTTCCCCGGGTTAACCTTAAGGTCACTCTGGTCACTCGACCGATACTAATCAATTGCTATTCTCTTGACTAATTAACTTTTCATTCATTTCTTTATGAACTTTTCGATTTGTCGTAACTATCAAAGTTCAATCAATAGACTATCGTTTCAATATCTCAATTGATGTTCATATTAAGGCAAGAAAAAGTTTTCTCCAACTAATTAATGACAATTTAGTTAATTGTAACCCAATCGATCAGCTGTTGTTAACCAGATTCTTGTGAACCCAAAAAAGATTTGTTGACTTCGCCTTCACAAGATGGAGCCACTTGACGTGGTGAATTTCAAACAAATGAAAATGTTGAATTTTTAATTTAGTTAAACAATAGAATTTAAAATTAAAATTAATACGCTAATTGTTGGCATTAATTATCATTTTGAGAACGTTTAATTATAATATGAAAGATCAGTTATTAATAGTAAAACAATTTCGATTGAATAATTGTTGATCTAATCTGAAGTAGGTGCGATTCAAGGTTAGTGATTTAAGGTTGATGAACAATTAATTTAAATCAACAACTGAATTAAACAACAATTAACTTTTAATTTGCCACCCAAGTTCATTGATCATTCAAAATTTCCAGTGTTTAAACTCACACATACATGGAAACCATAATAATCTTAATGATTAGTTGATTGTCCCAATCAAACTGAATCACTTTCATTTTTTAATCTATTTTCATGATGATCATCATTTAATCAGTTAATTAATCTTGTTGTGGATTAATGAGAAAAAATAAGATTGAAACTTTTTTTTTCCTTGATTCTTCATCAATATTTTATTATTATTATCATTAAATTGTTGCCATTTCAAATGATGGAAATAGATTGTTGTAGTTAATAGTTTAACGGTAAATTAAGGTATCAATTTAATAATAACTTTGGTTGATTATTAATTCTGATCAATCTAAAATTATAATCATAATCTAAATCACGGAAAATTTAATTCTTGATTTTTTTTTCTTCTTGTTATTGTTTACCTTTGATTCTGATAGTTAATCAAAAATTTGGTGTTTATTATAATTAATTGGAACCATTCAACTAAATTTAGATGGTAATTGGAAAGGTGAGAGCAATCAATTGATCATCAATTATTATTATTATTTGATTAGTTTAATTACCATTCCCAATAAGAAATACTAATTAAAACCATTTAAAATCAGACTGATCATCAATCGTAAAACAATTAATCAAACTCAGAAATTTGATTGATTTTAGTTGATAATCATATTCCCAATCCAAAATTTCACACAAGAATCAATAACAATTTGATTAGTCAACTGAATTAAAAATGGAATCAACCTCATGATGAAAATGATGATAAATCAAAATTCAATCAATTACAATCATTAGAATTGAACCAAAATCCTAATAGAAAAATGAACAACAATTTAAATCTTTTAATCCAATTAAATGGTTGAAAATATCACATAAAGAGACAGAAAATCACCCAAGTGACTGAGGTGAATCGGATGACCAAGAACTGACCACTGATTGAATCAGAACTTTGATCGTAGGCAAAGCTGAAAGTTGACCAAAACAAAGATTAAAGGAATAAGAAAATAATAGAAAAGTTTTCCCGCCACAAGAATTTGAACAAATGTCAAACCGAATTAAATTGTAACCATTTACCCAAGATGGCGGTTTAATCGTAACAACAAGTGAATGAATCTTATGACGTTTACACTTTGTAATCCCAGTGATGCAATAAGAAAGAGATGAATGAAAGAAGGGAAAAATAAAGAAAGAAAAGAAAGAGAATGTGAGAGAGAAAAAAGTGAGAAACCACTAGATGGCAGTTAGAACTAGAATTCTGTACCTGTGATGTTGTTATTCTGAGTGTCATCCCAGTAAAGAAATGAATTCTCTGCGATCAACCAGGAAATTTATTTTTCTCTTGTTGATTTCTGTTTTTCTCATTGGATTTATGTACCAATACAATGTTCCAACTTGCTTAGTGTCAACAAGTTCCCTTAATTTAAGTAAACAAAATGCTCTCCAATCACAAGTGCAACAACCTTCTTCCGGTGGTGATCCACTTTCATGGTCATCATCAGGTAAACTCTACTCATCGCTCATATCAGATTCTTCAGCCTCGTCCAGTGACTTGACAGTGACGCCAATCAACCGGGCGATTCCACTCATATTCATCGGGGGAATGCCCCGTTCGGGTACAACTTTGCTTCGCGTCATCTTGGACGCTCATCCGGACGTCAGGTGTGGGGAAGAGACTCGGGTAATACCTCGTCTACTTGGTATTCGAGCTCAATGGATGAAGTCACCCTTTGAGTCGCGTCGACTACAAGAAGCAGGTATTACCCCCGAAGTCTTGGACAGTGCAATTTCAGCCTTTATCCTGGAGATTGTCGGTAAACATGGGCCACCCGCTCAAAGGCTGTGTAACAAAGATCCGTTTACTCTGCGATCGGCGGTTTACCTTAAGAAACTGTTCCCCAATTCAAAGTTTATCTTCATGATTCGCGATGGACGTGCAGTTGTCCATTCGATCATCACTCGAAAGGTCACCATTTCGGGATTCGACCTGACCGACTATCGTCAATGTATGAAAAAGTGGAATAGTGCAATGCAAGCGATGCATAATCAGTGTGAAACTTTAGGACCATCTTATTGTTTGCCCGTTTATTACGAGCAAATGGTGTTACAACCAGAATTATGGTTGAGAAAGATTCTTCAATTTCTTGATGTGCCTTGGAATGATTCTGTCCTTAACCATGAGAAATTAATCAATAAACCTGGTGGAATATCACTTTCCAAATTGGAAAGATCAACAGATCAAGTAATCAAACCGATCAATGTTGAAGCTCTAAGTAAATGGGTCGGTCATATGCCCGAAGATGTGGTTCGGGACATGGGCTCAATCGCTCCAATGTTATCGGTTCTTGGTTATGATCCCTCAGCTAATCCACCGGATTATGGTAAACCCGATGCCTTTGTAGTTAATAAAATGAAAGATCTTTCCCAGAATCGTAAGGAATGGGAAGAGAAAGAGAAAGAATTATTGAAAGTTCGTCAATCCATCCAAAGTGATCTAATTAAACAGAGAGGTTCATCTAAAGGTTTATCAAGGGAAGACTCGGACAATGAAATTGGTCAAAGTATCGGCTATCGATTAACAAAGGAACAATCATCTTCTAAGGATAGTTAGCAATGAATTAAGAGAATCAAGTTAATATTGACCAGAGAAACAACAACAACCAAACAAACAAAGAAAGAAACAATTGATGATAATGAGAGAGACAAGAAGCAAAATCTAGATCAATATTTGAAAATTTATATTATTCTTTTAATAGAATCCATTTGATATCCCAAATATATAAATACATCAACAATGATGATGAGTGAAGACTAATAGAAAAGAGGAAGGAAGAGAAAATGATGATAAGATGATGTTTAATAATAACATTTCCAGTTGAGAGTAAACAACAAAAGATACAATAGGATTTTGAGCTTTAATCTAAAGACCAGAGAACGATTTTATTAATATAACTAATAATGATATCGATGAAGAAGATGATAAAATTAATGATAAATTTTCTCATCATCGAAGCGATTAAGTTGTGATTCTCAAATATATAAGTGATGAGGATAAAACGAGAGAGAGAGAGAGAGAGTCAATAAGTGTCTCAATTAACTGATTGATTGATTAATTTAATTTGCTAACTATCTGATAGAATGATTCTGTTTCCCTTACCACAAATGATTAAGAAATTTAAAAGCAAAGTAAAGAGAAATTAAAACAAAAAGTATAACAATTAACTACAAAGTTCCTGATCTTGGATTAACCACCAACGATAAAATTGATAATAAGCTAATTGCGATCATCAAATGGACAACAATTGATCCAAATGATACAAAGAAGAAAAAAAAATCAACCAAAACCAACAAGTGAATCATCATCATCACCTAAATGATGAACTGAATATTAATACATTGAACTGAATAGGAAAATGATGATGATGCTCTTACATTCAATTTCATATGATCTACATTCATATTAATGGGCTCACCTGACACAAATTATATATTCATGTGAATATCTTGATTCCCATTGATGAAAATGATGATGATTCAAATCATCTACAGAACCATCAATAGTTTGAACAACATTTACAGGGTGCGAACAAAGGAAAATTCATCTTCTTCTTTATTCATCTGATGCATTTTCTTTCATCATGTTGACTCATGAATTACCTGGTTTGTTGTTCCTCTTATTTTGTTATGTCATTCAGATTAACTTTTAATACATTATCATGTTACCTTGCATGTTGCCCACTTGTTCATCTGCAAACTGACCCATGTCTTCATCTTCATCTTCATCTTCATCAGTCTCTCCCAATTCCTCCTACATATCATGAAATATTTATGTAAATGATGATATTCTCATTCTGACTCTCAATCTTCAGTCTGAATTTGGAACCAAAAAAAAAACAATCAACTGAACATTTTTTCCTTTATATTTCTGATAATTAGGAAAAGATGATAAATAATTATGACCTCGTGATGATGATGATAATTATCATGAGCATTTAATTGTTCCCATTTTATCATTTACAGTTGGACTTATTTCAATGTTGACAGATGAAGAGAGACAGAATATTTATCATCCAGAACTATCATCATATTCATCTATTCCTCCTTCATTGTTACCATTTACGTAGTATAGGAGAGAGAGAGAGAGAGTGAGTTATATGTGAATTTTTCACCCTGAAAATTTGCTATTCAAACAAACTGAGAGGATTGAAGATGGCGATGATGAGGAAGATGAGAGATGAAGTTTTGTTCAACAAAAAAACGATAATCAAAAAGTTGAGATGCTTTTTATTATTCAAAAGGATGAAGATGAGAAGGAAAAAGATGAAGGTTAACTGTAGATGGTGATGATGAATTTATCCATGTAAGAGATTCTCAATTAAGTTACTTTGTTATTATTTATCCTCTTTCAACATCCTGATGAAGATGAAAGAAGATGAAGATTTGGAAGAAAAAGTTTAGGCAAAGAAAGAAGATGAAAAAAATCTCATGACAAAATTTTCAGTCAACTCTTCTTCCTTTATCTTCCAAACTCATCCTCTTTCCTGTCTCTCTCTCTCTCTCTCTCTCTGTCTCTCTATCTCATTGATTTCTCATCTTCCATCTCAATCTTTATCATCATCACACCACTTCACCTTTTGTCATCCATCTCTCATCTTTATATCTAATTTTTCATCATCCACACTTTCCCACCGCATCATCATCATCTTCTCTCTCTCTCTCTCTCTCTCTCTCTCTCTCTCTCCTCCCACTCTTCATCTGAAGAGATCAAAGAAACAAAAAGCTTCACTGTGAGATACTAATCGTTAATATTAAGCGAAAACAAAACAAAAAAAGTTCTAAAGCCTTAAACAAAACGCTACCAAAAAAAGAAAACAAATAAAGTCGATAATGTGAGTTGATTATAATCCATGATATTTAATCTGTTTCATCCTCTCGACTACAGGGTTGGTGTATTAGAATTTGTAATTACCCTTAATTACCCATTAGAATAAAAATGTTACAAATAATTCTGTAGACCGAATCGATAATGTTTCTCAATAGAGAAAAAAAAACCTTTTCTTGTTTTGTTTTGTTCCATCAAAATATCACAATCAAAACATGTCAACCAACCAACTTCACTCTGAATGACCACCACACCCAAAAAACTCAACAACCCACCTTTTAAAAAGCAGCACAAAAGTCAAGCTTGAAAAGAAAATTATCTCTTCTCTCTCTCTCACTCTCTCTCCCTTTAATCCATGGCTTAAATCCTCAATGAACCCATGTCACATTGAAGATAATGATGATGATATGACTTTGTCTTTCTCACCATAATCTTGATGATTATCAATTTTGTCTCTGTTGTTGTAAATTGTAAATTTGATTACCAATCAAAATTCATCATCCACCATGATGTAAACTATTCATTGTCATTTTCCACCCTACTCATCCTCTTCCCACCCAATTGTCAATCATAAAAGTCTAAGTATTAATTATTATCACTATTATATATTATTTATAAAAAGAAAACTAAAAAAAGTTATTAAAACAATTATTTCAAAATTCGCGCTTTTTTTGCAAGAATTAAAAAAAAATTCATTCAAATAATTTTTGAAACTTTTGTTGTCTTTTTTTTTCATCAACTCATTGAATCAAATTTAATTACAATTAACTAAATAAATGATTACCTTTCCTTATATTGAAAAAGGAAACGTTAACTAATAACAAATTACATGGGTTGTAATGAGATTCAAGTTAATTGTTTGAAAACAATAAGACCATGATAACCTTGACGTTGATTCCTGTCAAACAATTAAATTAATCATTTAAATTATAAATTGTGATGAAAATGAAACAAGAAAAAGTTAATATGATAACCACAAAGTCAAGATAATGAAGGAAAAATAATCCGTATGATAACAATTAACAGTTAATTGTTTCTTGATGAGTTTAAATTACAAAAACTTGAAACAAGAACAAAAAATATTTAAACTAATATTATCAACGTAATTAACTATTAATCATTAACAATCAACTCTAATTGTTGTGAGCTCTTCAAATAACTTATCATGTTGATGATGTTATTAGATTTTTTTTTCTTCTTTGTTGATTCTAAAGTAATTGCATCAATGTTGATAAATTGTTATCAACTAATTTCCTCGATTCTTAATCATTTTCATCGTTTTCTCAATGGGCTTTTTCAGGTTCCTCTTTCAGCTTTTTTCTCATTTCTTTTTCTCATCATTTTTATCTTCCTTGATGATGATGATGATGATGATTCTTATTATAAGATGATGAGTAAACAAAAAGTTGCTTTGATAACAAGAGAGAAAGTATTTTGATATGGATTGGCGATGATGAGGAAGATGAGGATGAGGATGATATCATTTGACACAAAAAATGGTTTTTCTTTCTCATCATGATGATTTCCTTTGGTTTTCTCTTTCTTTCCTCATCATCATCATCATCATCTTCTTCCTTTTCCTTTTTCTTCTCGATTTTACCTGAGGTTTTCTTGTTCTAACCATTATTTTACTTTCGTATTCGAAACCATTATAACTCATGGTGACTCTCAATCGATAGAGAATCAGTTAACTTTCAATCAGTTTTCCTTTTCTTTATCTTCCTCATCATTGATCTATTTTTTTCATCTTCCATCTTTATCCATGTCCTAGTTTTTTCTTCATCTTTTCTAGGAAAAAAATATCGTTTTCATTGCAACTTTTTTCGTCTAGAGAGTCAATTCTTGAGATTATCTCACTTTAAGTTTTCATCTTCAAGTATTTTAATCCTGATAATCTCTCTCTCCCTCTTTCAATATGGATCACAGGATCAAGGATGATAAGTGTTAAGATGAGGATAGTTATTATCACCGGAAACAATAAGATGCTATTGAAAAATAAGATACCGATTGTGAAACTATTGAGATACATGATCAAGGTGATTTTTCAAATACTTTGTATCAATTGTCACTTTTACTTGGCAATCAAGTTAATTGTCACTTAATTATCGTTTCCGTCCATTTGGTTAATCCTTTTTCTTGTTTTTTCCTGATCAAACTTTAATCCGGTTCAACGTAACAATTAATTGCCAGCTACTAATTTACTAATTGATTGTCTTTTACGGTACTTTTTTCATTTTCTTGATCAATTCTTGCTTTTTCAACGATCCTCATGAGGTTGACTAATTACTGGAAACAATTAAACGTAAACAACTAATCTCAATCAACCGTTCAAATGAATCAGTTGATTGATTTACAGATCACAATCATCAATGATGATTAAAGTTAACTAAATTACAACAATTAAAACAATATATCCAAATACATCATATCACCATAATCATTTAACAGTAACTTTTTTTTCACTAATCAATTGATATTCACAATGAATTTCAGATGATAATCAGCCTCTAACCTTTAGCTAATCACCTCTAATCAACTAATCACAATCATCAATACAATAACTAACGATAAGTTATCAATGAAATATATAAATTATGACAACAATTATAAATTAATCAAGTATAACTTTAACCATCCAATTGAAAGTTGATTTTGAACAAAGATAACCAATATAAATGGTTGGTTATCATTTAGTTAATAGTTAATCATAAAAGTAAGATTCAATTACCAGAATTTACTATTAATATAAATGATGATTAATAATAACGGTAAATCTAAAGCCTTACATTTAATCTTGAGCTGAAATCAATGTTATTTCATATCCATCATCATCCATGTTAAAATTGCTACTGAAAATGTAATTAGATACTTATCATCCTCATCCTCATCTCTCTCTCTCAAATGATCATCAATATTATCAGTTTATAATATTATTGTCTTACCATTGATTGTTGGTGTACAGATTTTTTTAGTTTCCATGTCAAAAAGGGAAACGGAAACAAGATGCAATCCATCATTTTATATTCAGTTTACTCTATTAGAATTGTGAATCTCTGACATCTAGATGACAACATTATCCATCATCTAAAGCAGTATCATCATTATCATGATCTAGAAGGAAGAGAAAAAAACTATCAAGGGAGAGGATAAACAAAAATGAGAATCAACTTCATCTCCTTAAACCTTGAGGTTATTCTGATGATGAGATATTATTAATATTTATCTTTGGTGGCTTCTCATGAAAACTTAAATCTCTAATCAAGTGACACCGATTGTCAATTGTTGTCCAATCGAGTTAATCAAAACAATAATACCAATTGTGTCCAAACGAAAGGGAGACCTCATTAAATCAATGAATGAACAATTATATCAACAATTTGCTTGTCAGAATTACAACAAAGTTACAAATCTTTTCCATTCTTGATCATTTTTTTTTATCATGACAAAGAAAGTGTCGCATGGCCTGAGTTTTTTTTCCTGAGTTTTGTCTTTTTCTTCATCAGAATTCATATATTAATATATAAAGTCTGTTGCTATTCATCTCTTATACTGTTGAAGATTTTTCTTCTTCTTCTTTTCCATCAGATGAAAAAGATATTATCATGAATATAAGGAAAATGAATTCCGAGTTACTATCATTCCCTGTAGATGAACATGAATCTACTTTTCTTTTTCTTAGCTGCTGTTTCCTCCCACATTAAAGAGCTCAATATATCCAAGAAAAAGTTGCTTCTTCTGTTTTTCTTTTACTTCATCATCTTCATGATAGTGAGAAGAGAGATGAAGATGGTAAAAAAAACATTGAACAAATTCTGAGCTGAATTCTGTTCATTTCATCCTGTTTTCTTCATTTTTTCCTTTCTCCTTTTCTATGGACACATTTTATCGATTACTTGATATATCTGTGGATTTCTCAATGTGTCTAAATTTCTCTATTTGTCTCAACTATTTACAACATTCTCATAAGATGCTGGATATAAATTCTGTCAATTTCAGCCTCAGATTCACGATAATAACAATAACAGTGATCATAATAATGATCATGATGATAATGATAACAATTGCAGGATGAAAATTCTAACAAGTTATAATATTATAAGTCGATTGTGATACAATTTATCTTTTCTTTTCTTTTGTCTTTAGAACTTTTTTTTCTCTGTCTTCATTTAAATGAGATAATGAGATGAATGGAAACTACATCGATAATGATACTGATCACCATTCAGATCCTCATGATGATGGTGATGGCGATGGTGTTGATGATTATTCAATCGATTCTGCAATCTCAGTTGAGATTATTTATCTATTATTGTTGATTATCATCTAACAAGAAGCGTTATTATTATTATTATTTTGATTTTCTATTCTGCTGCCAATTCTGATGAAACTTTTTTGTTCACCGATATTTTTATTACCATGATGATGGAGAGATAATATAATTCCCTCTTTTGTTGAGAAAACCTTTTGCTACATAATGCTGAGAATAATGATACAAAAAAATGAATGGAACAGGGGAAAGTTCTGATGATTGTGATACAAAATTCCTGACAACCATGATGATGTTTTTCCGTGTATATTTGGAGTAATAGAATCAGAATCAAAGTTGACCAAACGAAAACAACTAAGAATGACCATAGATGATGCTAATTATGATGTCGTTTAGTTTTTCTCCTCATAAGTTATTTGCTTGACCATAATCATCATTATCATCATTATCATCATCATGGTGGTGGATTATCCCCTTGATTCAGTTTCCCATCGGCTCATTTCATTTTATTAGAATCAATTTTCATCCTCATGATTATTTCTGATTGTTTTTCAATCCATTCCTATTCATCATCATTATTATTATTATTATCATCATTATCTCTGCTCATGCTTCCGTTTTGAAACATTGATTAAACCAGATCAACATCATTATCATCATCATAATCTAAAGATATCAATCAAATTACACACAATGATTACCAAAGGAAACAAACAACAATACTTCAAATTAATAGTCAATAAAGAAAACAAATGTAATCGTTAATCACCAACAATTTATGATAACAATAAATACTAATAACGATTGTTGATTAACGTTGTTAAATTGTCTCATTGCTTTTTCCTCTCCTTCTTATCCCAACATATACAAACTCTCATGAAGATATTCCTGAAATGTAAACTGAATATTGGGTAAGACGATGAAAGAATTTCTATCTTTTCTCATCTTCATCTCCATCTTCATCATCTTCTCGATTCTATCACGATTCCTGTCAACTCGAATCACAAAATCCCCTTGGAACCCTTTCCATTGAACTTTTATTCTTGTGGAAAAATTTATCACATTTTTTTTTTCTTCTCTTTTGTTGATATTTTCTTCATCTTCTTCCTAATTCTCATGTAATATACACAAACACATGAACATTTATTCATCCAAAGAATTAGCAATTGCAATTAACAATCAGCCTTTCATTTTATTCCACAACTTTAATTATAGGGATCAACATGGTCTCTTTCATTTCATCTTATTCCAATTGCAATTCCAATTCTGATGCTCTTCAATTTCTTTCCCTCATCATCAACATTTTCTCTCTGGTTCTTTTCATCCTTAGTTAAATTGCATGATTGCTGAGAAAAGGAGAATCTGTTAAATCAGTTGAAACCAATCTTGATCAATTATGTTCAATGTCACCCTTTTCTTTACTCTCCATCTCTCCATCTAAGATCCTCAGAGTATCTTCATCTTCCTCATCCCTTTTTAGAGTTTGTCCTTGCTCCTTATATTGATTAGTTTTGAGCATCTACACTAATAAACTTATTCATTAAAGAGAGAGAGAGAGAGATGCTGAGTGAGTGAAGATGAAGAATTGATGATGAAAAGGGAAGAGGAAAAGGAAAGAGCAGATAAACTTACATGAGATATAATATCGGAGAGTGGGAGTGAAAACTGTCTAATACATGATAACACAGTTTCTCCGTAATCTGTTAAATTTAATTTTACGCTTCTGCATATTGATGATGTGATTAATTCCTAATTTACATTACAACCAATTTCGCTATCGATAAGGTGAACTTAATCTTCTTTCATTATATTTATCATCCTCATCCTTTTACTTTTACTTTCTCTTTCTCTCTCTCTCTCTCTCTCTTACCCTTTATCTTTTCCTTGCATCTTCTTCCTGGTGGATTCAGATTTTTTTCTGTATCATCAAATTAATACCCTTTTATTCAAAGGATGCGCAAGGAAAGATGATCATCAGAATGATGATAATGATGAGAAACCAAAATTCCTCTTATCAGAACCTTGGTTGGTTCGAAAAAAACGGAAACGGAAATGAGATTCTTCTTCAATCTTTCAATCCCAACCCACAGTCTCAGTTGAACTCGGTGAAAGTTTCTTTTACCAGATCATCATAACATCAATGTTACACTTTTTCCACCAGCATCATCATCATCATCAACATCTAATTTTCTCTGTAATTTTATCTCATCCTTTTCCCATGTAATATGATTCAGGATTCATTTTGCTCTCTGAACTTTTTATTATTTCATATATATGAAATATTTATTCAAGTGTATGGAGTTGATTACCAAAACCATTTGATTGTATCAACAATATCTTCCGGTTTGCTATCACTGAAAAGGTGATGAGATTAATTTGATGGAGAAGATGATGATCATCATCATCACGATATCAATATTATGGTTGATTGTCACTTTAACCCGATACATAAAATTATCATTGCAAATGAATTACCAACAATCAACATAATTTGAACATTAATCAACCTCCTAATCAATGTTGAACATACAACAATCAAGGTACAAACAAACAAACAAACAAAAAACACAACAAAAAGATTGATTTTCTGAATAATAAGATATTAATTCATCTTCATCATGGTTTCTATCATGAAATACAAACTCATGTAATAATAATAAAATATTATGTCTTATGAATTTGTTGCTCAGGTTACTGGAAATCAGGGGATGGATGATGATACGAAATGATCATCACTCTGGCTGAGTAATCATTGAATCGTAAACTGATTAAGATTAATTCTGATAGATTGATTTGAAATGTTTTCCGAGGAAAAGGTTTCCATGTTAATGAATCATCATGATTTTGTTAGCATGATGATCACCATGAAATGAAAACTTCCTCAATGGTAGATGATGAAAATGAAAGTGAAAAAACAGTTTCACCAAGTGAACTTCGTCCTATTTTAATGTTCATGGTGAAAATTCACATTTTCATGATGGAAAGTATAAGCCTTGGGTGTGGAAATTGTATATTAATTGCTGGAGGAGAGCAGAAAATAATCATTATGTTAATCATCATCATCATTCTTGGTGATTCTCAATTCCAATCTTACCATTATCATGACTATTAATGAATTACACTTGCGGAACTTTTCCCAGGAGAGGAAAAAAATATTACAGAATTTTTTTGTTTTATCTCTTCTCTCTCTCTGAATCATGAACTATTCATTGGTGTCCCCTGACCAATAAATCTGCACTTTCCAACCATAATTCATCAGCTTTGATTAAAGTGATTAGATTGTCTTTTATTTCATTAATATCATTTGATTGTAGGGTATTTAATTTGATGATTGATAACTAAGAGCAAAAAGATAACAAGGGAAAAATAATAATCATTATTATCATCTAGATTCACCATCATCATCATCATTATCATCATCAATACCTTGGATACACCACAAAGATGATGAAGAAGATAAAATAACAGATTATCAATGTTCACAATGTGATCATTGAGACTCCCAATCCTTTATCATCATCTAACCCTCATCATCCTCATCATCCTCATTTTCAATCTCATCATGAACATCATTTTACTCAATTCATTTCCTATCATTATTATTATTTTCAGCCATTATTGCTCTGATGATAATGATGAGCAACATTTCATTTAATCAAATTAACACTATTTAGTCAATTAATTACAAAAATGAAACTAAATTAATCATAAAATATTCATATTGATATAATTGAATTATATTTTTCGCTCAATGTAATATTAATTTTCTCCAACATCTCAATGAAATGCTAAGAGAACAAGATAAATATATTCACAATATTGTGACCGATAACCACGAACTGACCATCGATTGAATCAGAACTTTGATCGAAGGCAAATAATTAAAGTCGATCATAACAAATACGTTTACTTTTTATTTCAGTGATGAAAGTGAGAAAGAACTGTATGAAAGAGAGTGAGAGAGAAAACGAAGTGAGAAAATAATAAAGGAGAGTTAGAACTGGAATTCTGTACCTGCGATGTTGTTATCCTTCTGGGATGTGCGATTATCAAATTTTCGAATAATCGATTGAGACGCAATTTTTCTCAGAATCGATTGTCATGGATATTTTGTCGAAAGAGAGAAAGACAGTTGAAAAGAATGAATAAGAGAAAAGAGGAAAGAATTTTTTATTAGGAGGGGAAGTTACGATTTAAAAAGAAAGAGAAGAAAAATCCATTTTTGACTTTCCATCATTGGCATCGAAATTTTGTTCGATCATCGATAATAATCGATAATTCTGAAGATCGAAAGCATCCTTACATCCCAGTAAAGAAATGAATTCTCTGCGATCAACCAGGAAATTTATTTTTCTCTTGTTGATTTCTGTTTTTCTCATTGGATTTATGTACCAATACAATGTTCCAACTTGCTTAGTGTCAACAAGTTCCCTTAATTTAAGTAAACAAAATGCTCTCCAATCACAAGTGCAACAACCTTCTTCCGGTGGTGATCCACTTTCATGGTCATCATCAGGTAAACTCTACTCATCGCTCATATCAGATTCTTCAGCCTCGTCCAGTGACTTGACAGTGACGCCAATCAACCGGGCGATTCCACTCATATTCATCGGGGGAATGCCCCGTTCGGGTACAACTTTGCTTCGCGTCATCTTGGACGCTCATCCGGACGTCAGGTGTGGGGAAGAGACTCGGGTAATACCTCGTCTACTTGGTATTCGAGCTCAATGGATGAAGTCACCCTTTGAGTCGCGTCGACTACAAGAAGCAGGTATTACCCCCGAAGTCTTGGACAGTGCAATTTCAGCCTTTATCCTGGAGATTGTCGGTAAACATGGGCCACCCGCTCAAAGGCTGTGTAATAAAGATCCGTTTACTCTGCGATCGGCGGTTTACCTTAAGAAACTGTTCCCCAATTCAAAGTTTATCTTCATGATTCGCGATGGACGTGCAGTTGTCCATTCGATCATCACTCGAAAGGTCACCATTTCGGGATTCGACCTGACCGACTATCGTCAATGTATGAAAAAGTGGAATAGTGCAATGCAAGCGATGCATAATCAGTGTGAAACTTTAGGACCATCTTATTGTTTGCCCGTTTATTACGAGCAAATGGTGTTACAACCAGAATTATGGTTGAGAAAGATTCTTCAATTTCTTGATGTGCCTTGGAATGATTCTGTCCTTAACCATGAGAAATTAATCAATAAACCTGGTGGAATATCACTTTCCAAATTGGAAAGATCAACAGATCAAGTAATCAAACCGATCAATGTTGAAGCTCTAAGTAAATGGGTCGGTCATATGCCCGAAGATGTGGTTCGGGACATGGGCTCAATCGCTCCAATGTTATCGGTTCTTGGTTATGATCCCTCAGCTAATCCACCGGATTATGGTAAACCCGATGCCTTTGTAGTTAATAAAATGAAAGATCTTTCCCAGAATCGTAAGGAATGGGAAGAGAAAGAGAAAGAATTATTGAAAGTTCGTCAATCCATCCAAAGTGATCTAATTAAACAGAGAGGTTCATCTAAAGGTTTATCAAGGGAAGACTCGGACAATGAAATTGGTCAAAGTATCGGCTATCGATTAACAAAGGAACAATCATCTTCTCAGAATAGTTAGCAATGAATTAAGAGAATCAAGTTAATATTGTCCAAAGAAACAATAATATCAAGGAATCAAAATGCTGGTGATGAAAGAAACGAGATGAAAGAAGCAAAATCGAGATCAATATTTGAAAATTTATATTCTATTATACAATCCATTTGGTATACAAAGATGATGAGAAGTAGAGGATGAAGAGAAAATGATGATAAGATGATGTTAATAATATTCTCAGTTGAGAGTAGCTAACAAAAGATAGAATAGGATTTTGAGCTTTAATCTAAAGACCAGAGAACTATTTTATCACATCATATGAATGAAGAAAATAATGATTAATTTTACTCTCTCATCATCGAAACGATTAATTTGCTGCTAAATATTGATAAAGTTATGAGGATAAAAGAGAGAGAATAAGTGTTTCAATTAACTGATGATTGATTTAATTTGCTGACTGTCGAATGATTTTGTTGGCCTTAACACAAACAATTGCGAATTTCAAAACCAAAGTAAAGAGAAATCAAAAAAAAGTATAACTAAAAAGTTCCTGGTCTTGGATAAACCTCCAGATATCTACAACATATCACAATTATTCAAAGAAAAAAAATCAACATTTAGTTCATCATTTTGCTGATCATCACCAAAATGAGCTGAATAGGAAAATGATGATGATGCTCTTATATCACCTGTTCAATTTCATATGATCTACATTCATATTAATGGGCTCACCTGACACAAATTATATATTCATGTGAATATCTTGATTCCCATTGATGAAAATGATGATGATTCAAATCATCTACAGAACCATCAATAGTTTGAACAACATTTACAGGGTGCGAACAAAGGAAAATTCATCTTCTTCTTTATTCATCTGATGCATTTTCTTTCATCATGTTGACTCATGAATTACCTGGTTTGTTGTTCCTCTTATTTTGTTATGTCATTCAGATTAACTTTTAATATATTATCATGTTACCTTGCATGTTGCCCACTTGTTCATCTGCAAACTGACCCATGTCTTCATCTTCATCTTCATCTTCATCAGTCTCTCCCAATTCCTCCTACATATCATGAAATATTTATGTAAATGATGATATTCTCATTCTGACTCTCAAGACTGAATTGGGAACAAAAAACAACAGAAAATTTCACAAAAATGATAATCAAACAAATCAAAAAGTTGAGATGCTTTTTGTTATTCAAAAGGATGAAGATGAGAAGGAAAAGATGAAGGTTAACTGTGGATGGTGATGATGATCAATTTATCCATGTAAGAGATTCTCATTAAATTTGTTTTCACTGAATCGAGCACAAGCTTGTAATCGACTCATTGCCGCTCAACTAAAGGTCATTTTGTACCAATGCCGAAATTTAGGAAAAGTGAAAAATTTTCATGACAAATTATTCAGTAAACTCTTCATACTCTACCTTGTCTCCCACTCTTCATCTGGGGGGATGAAAACTATTCGAACCTTTTGTAATATTTTATCGTATTTAAAAGAGGTCAAATTTATCAATAATTTAGGTAACTATTAAATTCTGTTGTGAAAATTTATCGACAATATCAATCGCTCAATATTTGTCTTGTTCTACATCCACAGCGAATTGATGAAAGTATTCTGTCAGTATTACAAGAGAAATTTGGTGATTCGATGAGTAAAATGCAACGAGCTGATTTGAAAGAGTTCGAGGCTGCATTTAGATTCGCTTGTCCTAAATTCTTATCTCCTGTTGTTACAATTGTAGAACCTGATATATCAGGTGAGACTCCAGTTCGAATTGACCCATGGAATCAGCAACTTCGTGTATTCATGGATGAAATTTCTCAACAAATTCAAACTTTGATTATAAGAAGTTACCTTAAGCTTTACACCACGATGCCTATGGCAAAATTGGCCGCTTTCCTAGACACTTTAAGAGTATTTTTCAAATTGAAATAACAATTCAAATTTAATCGCTATATGATTGAAGTTACATTCGTCTCAAAACGATTGTGATAATTAGCAAAATTTACTTGGCGGCTCTTGGTGCTCCGCCACCTTCTCGCACTTGTGGCTTGGCTCCAGTGAATCGAGGTGGTGGGGTTCTTATTTTTCTGTCTTCTTTGGATCGATTTCGAACAATTTTAGAGTGAATCGCACAAGAAACGCAGTAGTAAATCTTTGCATACAATTTAGGTAATGGATAAGCTGGAAAAAAAAGAGAGAGAGAATGTAACATGAATAACGGAAAATAAATTGAGCATATTGACGCTTAATATTGACACTTACTCTCATAAACTGAAGCATCAGTTATATCTCTAACAGCAGCAGCTTCGACAATATTTCTAACTACGAATTTTTTAATAGCTTTATCCTTTGGAACACATCGAGCACAATTGTCACATCTAACTGGGTTGACATGTCCTCGTCCATGCTTAGATCGGCCATTGTTTCTCCGTTTACAAGTCTAACATAACATCACCACGAGAGAAAACCAAGAGACAAAGAGAGAGAGACAGAGAAGCAGAAAGAAAAAGAAAACCACAAAAAGATGAGTAAATTGGGCAAATAAAAAGACAAAAAGTGAACACAGATAAGACCACTTACCATTTTGAATAGAATAAGATATTAATTTACTTTTGATAAATCAAATTAACTGAATTAAATTACAATTAACACACAAAATTCATCAAAATTTACTGTTGTTGTTTCTAATTGAGTATGTCAAGAATTCCGTTTCCGCTTCGTATGACCGAACCGGAAATCAGGGACCTTCTCCTAATTATGAATGGTCGAAACTCCATCTGGTGGAAAAGTTTTGTCTCATCAACATTAATTGTAGAAATTAAATTGTTGTTGTTGTTTTAAATCTCAAATTAATTGTGATTTTTGAATTGATTTTTTTAATTGTTTATCGGCGGAAACGAACGTTTTGTAAATCAACATGAGCCGTGATTATGGTTATGATTATGATTATGGAAATGTAAGTAAATCGGTTGATTCATTTTGATTCTATTCTTTTGGAATATTTTTCCACGTTATTGGTTTGGTTTGTGGATCTTTTTTCCTATTAGGTTTAATGGTTTTTCTCTTTTCTATCTTAGGATTATGGTTATGGTTATGGATTACATTCTGGTGATCCAAGGCAAGATTTAGAGTATGAGAAAAATTATATGGGCTCTGGTGGTGGTGGAGGCGGTGGAGCTTCAATGGCCGGTGGCGGATCTGGATTCAATGTTCCTGATGTTGTTCATGAATTTCTTTTGAGATTGTACAAAGCAATTACTGAGAGAAATGTTTTCGAGATTCATAATCTTTATGAGAATACATTTCTTCAATTGACTGAGACTTATTATAAAGAGAGACCCTGGCCAACTGAAGGTGAAGTTGTTCATGTTGTTGGTGAAAGGGAACATTTTAAAACTTTCATCATCTTCTATAAGGAATTGTATTTCCGTCACATTTATGCCAAATGTCAGCCAACAATTGAACAACGATTTGAATCATATGCCAATTATTGTGCTCTTTTCAATCTATTGTTGAATGATGAAGAACCTGTTCCCTTGGAGTTACCCAATCAATGGTTATGGGATATTATCGATGAGTTTATCTATCAGTTTCAATCTTTCTCGCTTTATCGTATGAAAGCAAATGCTGGTAAACTTTCTGAATATGAAGTGGAACAATTAAAGATTAATGTTGCCATTTGGAATGTGCACTCGGTTTTAAACGTGTTACATTGTCTTGTTGATAAATCAAAGATCAATGAACAATTAAAGGAATACAATGCTGGCCGAGATCCTGATTTGGTTGCCGATGAATTTGGTCGTCAAACTATTTATAAAATGCTTGGTTATTTCTCTTTGATTGGACTTCTTCGATTACATTCATTGCTTGGAGATTATTATCAAGCAATTAAAGTTGTCGAAAATATTGATCTCCATCGACAACCTTTACAAAATCTTTCTGTTGCTCGAGTTTTAGCTTGTCAAACAACAACTTTCTATTATGTTGGATTCGCTTACATGATGATGCGAAGATATGCCGATGCGATTCGAACCTTTTGTAATATTCTATCATATTTACAAAGAACTTTACAAAGAGGTCAAATTTATCAACAATTTAGGTAACTAACCAAATTCTGTTGTGAAAACTAGTCGACATTATCAATCCTTTTTTCCATCAGTATAACTAATCATCTGTTTTTTTTTCTTGTTTTCTTGGAACAGAACTTTTCAAATGGATTTAATTGATAAACAAACCGATCAAATGTACGCATCGCTTAATATTTGTCTCGTTCTACATCCACAGAGAATTGATGAAAGTATTCTGTCAGTATTACAAGAGAAATTTGGTGATTCGATGAGTAAAATGCAACGAGCTGATTTGAAAGAGTTCGAGGCTGCATTTAGATTCGCTTGTCCTAAATTCTTATCTCCTGTTGTTACAATTGTAGAACCTGATATATCAGGTGAGACTCCAGTTCGAATTGACCCATGGAATCAGCAACTTCGTGTATTCATGGATGAAATTTCTCAACAAATTCAAACTTTGATTATAAGAAGTTACCTTAAGCTTTACACCACGATGCCTATGGCAAAATTGGCCGCTTTCCTAGACACTGACGAGGACACTTTAAGAGTACAATTACTCTGTTTCAAGCATAAAATGCGTAATCTTGTTTGGAATCGAAATCAAGGAAATTCTGGTCTAGAAGGAGATTTCGAATCAGGTTCTGATGTAGATTTTTACATAGACAAAGATATGATTCTTGTCGCTGATACAAAAGTTGCTCGTCGATATGGAGAATACTTTTTACGACAAATCCATAAATTTGAAGAGCTTTATCGAATAGCAAGTTCTATCCAACGAACCACCTCAATCTAATTATAATAACCATTTATAATTAACTCCAAAAATTCAAACTTTACTTTGGATAAACAACTAAATTAAAAGTGTTTCAATTTCTAATGCTAAGAGAAGAAGAAAAAAATAAAACAATTAAAATTTTCCACCAACAAAACGACACAAACTCAAAAAAATATCTAAAAAACCACAACCATTAAAAACCCAAATCAGTTCGAACTCGATTAAAACAACAATTAACCAATTAATCGTTGATTTATTAATTCCAATAAATCCAATTTCGAACAATTAAAATTTCAAAATTAAACAAATGACATGAAACATTAAAAGAATACCAATCAATAGTTAATCTTTTTCTTTTCCAATAAAATCCCAAACATACTCTCTTATGCTTCTCTAAATAACAATTAGAAGTTAATTAAATTAATTGTATTTCCAAATTGTTCAATTAGTCGAATTGTAATTAGAATTTGAGATATTTGTAGTTGGCGCTTTTCGCTGTCACCACAATCTAAACGACTGGTTACCGAGGTGTTGCTAAGCTCGATTGGTCTGAACAACAGCATTTCTTTAATTGTTTACCTTAATCAATCTGTTGCAAACAATTAAGTTAATTGAGTTTAATTTTTAATTCCAATGGGTTTTTAAGAGTATTTGGTGTGAGGCTAATTAGCGGTCATCTTGCGGCATCCAAATCTCGCTCAGTTTACTTTGTATTATCTATGGAAAGTTCGAATAAAAGGAGAAAGAAAAGCCGCTGGGGTGGTGATGATAAGGTTGTTATTCCAGGCTTACCTACTAATTTACCTGTCAATTTATCTAGTGAACAGGAAAGAATATACCTTTGTAAGTCTTGTTTCGATAATTTATGATGTGTGTCATTGAGATTTCTCATGTAGACAAATTGTGTTCTCTTCTTCCATCTCTCTGTTTCCTTTTTTTCCTGTTTGATGGGTTCATGTTTCTCTCAACTGTGATTAATTTGTTGGTTTTTTTCTCATTGCTTTTGCAGTACAATTACAGATAGAAGACTTGACACGAAGATTGAGAACAGGAGATTTGGAAATTCCTACGAATCCAGAAGAAAGGTAATAATATTGTTCGATTTGTGAATTCGCAACATTGGTTCTCCTGTCAACATTTCCATAAAAACCTTCGCTCACAACATTTACCTCGTGCTTTCACTATTTTGACATTTAACTGCTATTGCTTTTACTTGATTGCAGATCACCATCACCTGAGCCCATTTATAACAATGAAGGTAAACGTCTGAATACTCGGGAATTTAGAACACGGAAAAAGTTGGAAGATGAGAGACATAACCTAATTCAGGAGATGGTCCTAATTAACCCTTCATTCAAACCACCATCTGATTACAAGTATGTTTCATACTTTTCTTTTTGCGAATTAACTTGGAAATTTGTTTAGTACTAATTGTCTCATTTATCTTTTCTTATATCCATAGACCACCACAACAAAAAATTAGCGAAAAAGTTTTAATTCCACAAGAAGAATATCCAGAAATTAATTTTGTAGGACTTTTAATCGGTCCCAGAGGAAATACTTTGAAAGGAATGGAAAAAGATGTAAGTAACTCATCTTTACCAGAATAACTCGAAACTTTATCCTTTATGATTAAATTTTGTTCTTTTTCCTTACAGTCTGGCGCTAAAATAATTATTCGTGGCAAAGGATCTGTAAAAGAGGGGAAAATTGGTCGGAAAGATGGTCAACCCATGCCGGGTGAAGATGAACCGCTTCATGCTTTTGTAACTGCGAGCACTCATGAATCGGTTCTAAAAGCTGTCCAAAAGGTAATCATATACTCATGATTTTCCAAAGTTTAATCAACTAATTTTCTTGTAATGGTTCCACTTTTTACTTAGATAAAAGATGTAATTCGCCAAGGAATTGAAGTCCCAGAAAACCAGAACGATTTACGAAAGAATCAGCTTCGTGAACTCGCTTTATTAAATGGAACCTTAAGAGAAACTGATGGACCAAAATGTTTTAATTGTGGCTCATCGGCTCATCGTAGTTGGCAATGTCCAGACAAACCAAATGTTACCAATAATGTGATTTGTAGCAATTGTGGTGCCAAAGGACACATTTCAAAAGATTGTAAAGAAAAGAAACTTCCACAAAATGCAAATTCTTCTAAAATAGATGAGGAATATTTGTCTCTTATGGCCGAATTAGGAGAAGGTCCACGTCCACCAAAAATGAATCATTCCTCGGGTGGTGTCGGTGGTAATAGTAGTTTAGGTGGATCAGGTCCAAATTTTAGTGGACCTGGAGGTCCTCCAAGAGCGATCACCGCTGGCACCGGGCCAAGAGACTCACATGGCCCATCTCAATCACAATCTCACCATCCTGGTAATCCACATCATTCAAACGTTCAACAAAATGGCTCCTGGTCTAGAAATGATAATCAATCAGTGGTACAACCGCCTTATTGGCAATCAACTCAAAATCAAACGGCTTATGGCTACGGTTCTTCTGCTGGTGTTTCCCCTTCTACCGCTTATCCTCAAATGCCCGCTGTTGATTCATATTCTTACATGTACTCCCAAGCCCAAACAGCCAATTCGAATCCTTGGTTACAACAAGGTTAGTTAATTATCCACCATTTTCCATCTTGATTGTATCTTAATTGTATTTTCTTTCTTTTCCTTGTTTAATGTCCTTAGGATGGTCGCAAAATGCCAACATGACTGTAGTTCCATCTCCACCTCCTCCACCTCCACCTCCTGATGGACAAAGAACACCAACAACCCCAACAAACTCAACATCTTGGATGGGCTATATGAACATGGCTGGAGTCTCATCGATCGGATTAAATGCACCTCCACCTCCACCTCCTCCTCCAAGTGTCCCTACAATACCCGCTGGTCTCTATGTAGCACCGCCTCCACCTCCACCACCACCACCTCCACCCAGTTAATAGTTTCATATTATTAACTATTCTAATTCTACTTTTTTTTCAACTTATGATCTTCTTTTTTTGGATCAAACTTGATTTATTATTCATTTATTTTATTTATCATGAAATAAGTGACCTATTACGGCCGTCATAATATGACTGAACGCCTTCTAGTGGCACCACCATTGAGCGGTCATATCACATAACAACCGCTCAGACAGAGGAAGAGAGAGAGAGAGAGTGAGCACTTTGTAAGCATCCATTCTGAGTTTAACTAAAAAACAAATTGTTCATCTGTCTAAATTATTGAATAATTTCAATTCCTGTAAAGAGCAAACAAAACCATAAAAGGAAAAAAGTAAAAAAATCAAAAACCCAAAGTTAGTGAGATTCGTGATCGAGCTGAATGGAGGTTATAATAGAGAACAAGCCGATTGAAGCCGATTCTCTAAGCCAAGAAAGAGAGAAAAAAAGACAAGCAAGAGAAGAGAGAGAAGAGAAAGAGAAAGATGATGAGAAAGCCAAAGTGGGAGGGAATGATAAAAGAAAGAAAAGAAATTGTGAAATTACCTTTACATTTACTATATACGAGTAGAAGAGCTCATGTTTTTCAGCATTAACTCCGGGTAAATTTGTTGATTACTTTTCTCTTCTCATCTTATATTTGATTCCTTGTGCTCAACTGTATAATTGTTACATAACTGTTATTACCTTAAGAGACTCTTAACCAACTATAAATGAATACCCTGAAAGTAATTGTCTTATTGATCGAACTCTCAACTGGTAAGTGATAAGTTTACCTTTTCTTTTTTCATTCATTCATTTCTATTGATACATTTTCCATGCGAAAGACAATAAAAGTATCTCCACCCTCTTGTTTTCTCACAATTTGTCTCTTATCAACCGATCAATGGGTTATCCCCACACCTCGAATTGAAAGCGGCCTCAATGTCCTCTTATACTCGACTGTATGAATAGTACAAATAGAAAACTATTTTCTTTTGTTTTGAAGAAACATTTTCATTGATAAAATAATCTTTGGGTTGGGTAGAGAGGAGAAAGTGAATGAAATTTGAAGAGACAATTTTTACTTCTCTCCTCCATTAGAACTTAATTATTGATGAAATTTTTTCCTTTTTTCGATAATCATCAAGCAATTTCTTTTTTCTTTTCGAGAATATTTACAATTTTATCCAATTTTTTTCTCTCTCTCTCTGGTTGATAAACATTTCTTCATTTTCAGTCTTTTCATTGGAGTGTTGGGATTGCAAGTCTAACATAAATGCTGCTTGTAGTGATCCATTTTATCCGGAACCTTTTGCAAAAATGAACTGCTCAGCTAATCCTAAATACGAGATGCTCAAGAAAATGTATGGCAATAGGACAACTCAATTGTGCCGGAAAATAATAGAAAAAAGTAATTTAATATCGCACATAATCAATAATCAATGATGAAACTTAATTACACTCATAGAGAGAAAGGGAGAAATTGATGTTGATTCAATTTGATCTGTTGATCTTTTCATAATTTCATCACTTATGGTATAAAGTGCTGAGTATTTTTTTATTATTTTCATTGAGAAAACAAAGATAATTCCTGAAAATGAATTTGGAACAACTGAATCATCATCATCATCATGAGGCCTAAACTGTTAACAATACAAAAAATAGTTAAGCTTTGATAAGCTCGAACCTGTTTTCTGCTTTGCTTGTATTAGTTTTAAATATATGATTATCTTCATGATGATAATCAATAATATTTTAAAGGTAACAAATTGTATTGTTCATCCTGATAGTTTGGTGTATTGAGTTGTGTGTATTAACCCAAATCTAAATGATTATCATGAGAAAGTGAAGGTGACTCTTTCCAATCAAATTTAATGATAATCATTGTTAATTCACTAAACTAAATCATGTAAATTGAATAATTGATTAACATTTCAACTTTTCTCTCTAATTCTCATTGAGTGTGATTATGAGTTTTTCGCCTCTTTCGGTGATTTTCGTTGATTTTCCTCAATTAATCAGTCAATTGATCGTTTAATTTGATCAACTTTTCGAACGATTAATTGATCAATTAAATTGAACACTCGACGAAAGTCACCGAGAAAAGTTTCATCATTGTAACTATTCAACTAACAATTAACTTTTCTTTAATCTCTTTCTGTTTCTTTCTTTGCCATTTCTATTGATAACTAACTCGCTGATACTAATTAACGCCATTTAACTTAATTAGTTGACAAAGAGGTCAGAGTTATTCGTACTTGTGGCTATTTAGAGGATCCAAATGCTGTCGCTGGAAAATGTACCAATCGAGTTGGTTCCGGAGGACTTTCAGTTGTCTCCTGTCATTGTGCAACTGATTCTTGTAATGCTTCATCACAATTAACTAATTCAATGGTCCAAACATCATTTTTAATAGTCGCCATTTTAATTCTCACTTCAGCTTTCTCTTAGAGCTGCGAAACACTCACACGTACACATATCACCAAACGATTTCCAACCCACACCATGATTCCTCCCATGCTGCTGAATAATGTTCATCGTCTCATTTTGCTGAATTTCCTCCATCTCATTCCTTTGCATTCCAACTCTTCACAAACACATATTTCCAAAGATAATTGTCAAGTAATAATCATGATAATTACTCGGCGTGACTCAATTACGCCTTCCAAATATTCATCACAATCTTAAGATGCGATCATCCCTTTGATTGTTATGAATATTTACCAACTTTTTTTCGTTCGACTTTCCATCTTTTCCCTGTTCTCTTTTTTCAAGTTTTCTAATTCTGATCACATGGAAAACAAATTGAGTGATTTCATGATGAGAATCAGAATGAAGTAAATCTCAGAAAAGAGACAATAACAACAATAAGATCTAATCAACAGTCAAACAATTAAGGGACCAAAGAATTATCTTACTGTTTAACAGTTAATTTGGTGACAATTAGAAAAGATGAAAAAAGAGAAATGTAAACTCACCCTCAGGCCAATTCGTAACCAAGAAAAACTCAAACACTACCGAAGGGTCACAAAATAAATCTAAACAATTCACTAATTGTTTAAATAACTTTTTAATTCTAAATCTAAATGATACATATTCAATATATTTGCTAAATATTTTTGCTGTTTCATCATAAACTCATTCCAATCATCTAATCCCCTTTATCCACAACTAATCCTAATCCTGGAGATTATCATTCCCGAAATATTAATCGACAAACCTTAAACCCTTCGCACTGATAATATTATTATTTGTGCCTTTTTTTTGAGATTATCACCTAAAGATTTTAATATTTGCACGTTAACCAAATGATCGATTGATTGATTGATTGATTGGTCTTCATTTGGAAAATGATGATGAAGATGAGGATGATTAGCATCATCTCCATGAGCTCTGATTTAGCAAAAATGTTCATCTAATCAAATTACAATTCTCATGATTAACAAACAAAGAGATTGATTAATCAGATAAAACAAAACCTCAAATGTGTTCAACGTATAATTCAGCCAATTATCAATATTATTTATCCAGATGATGATGGAGATGAAATCTAATCCCATTACCTTTCACTTGTCACACCCTTTTCAGTCAATTCTCATTTCCCTCTCTCTCTCTCTCGTTTCTCTTTCTATCTCTTTCTCATGAATCCTGTTTTTGTCAGAATTTGTTGTTTTCTCAAAAGCGGGAAAATGGAAAATTTGATTCACTTGAATTTGTTTTCCAATCAAATTTGTTAATTTCAACAGATTATCAACTTTCAGATTTTCTTCAGCCCAATTGTAACTTCCTCTCATATTACAGAGTTTCCATCTCTTTACATTATTCATCTTGTTCCAGTTGATTCAATCTGAATTCCGGAAGAAGATGATGATGATGAAAGACCAACAAACATGATTATCATTGATGTTTATAAATATTAGTTTATTTTTTCCGTTTTCCTTTAATTTACTGAATCTTTCTCTCTGTTTAATCAACCCAAATTGTATCACCAGTGAATCTCACTTTCTAATTCTGTGTATGCTTAGTATATTTACCATTTAATATCATCACCACTTCCCTTTATCACAATTAATCAACATGAAATGTCCTTGTAATTTTCCTTATATGCAGTTTCAATTGAAATCAGAATTGATTCTTGTTAAATGTTTGTACCCACTTCCTATTAGCTAAATTAGTCACCATTTCCACCACTAATCAGTGTAATCAAATACACACTCAACAAACACCCATTTTGATGATTATCTTCATGGGCTAGTCGATCATTTTTTACACACTATTTTTTTGTCTCTCTCTCTCCCAATCATCATCCTCATCATCATTATCATCATCACGCTGTTTTACCTGTTTCTTTCATCATCACTTTCTCTCTCTCTCTGCCTTCTTTTCCTCTACCTGTTCAAAGCCTCTAGTATATGAAGCTAATTGAAATAACCAAAAATGAGTAGCTAAACACATTGATTTGATATGGTTTAATTTACCACAATCAATTGATTCTGTATTTTCAATTACAATTAAGAGTAAAACAATTTACTCAACTTTATCCCGTTCATTCATCATTTCTCATTATCTCCCATGTGTCTGGTAACTTTTCCTGATTCTTTCATTGGAACTTTTTTTTTCTCCCTCTTCACTTTCAATTGTTTCTTTTTCTATGATATCAATTATCATGATCTTCCTCTTAATTACTCTCATTTTAATTGTGATTAACTTTAATTTCTTTCTATGTGCTTTCCGTTTCACGTTTTGTAATCATTTGTAAATTTGCCAATTCAATTGTAATACAATCAATCAATCAAATAGAGTAAAATTAGCATGAAAATACGGGTTCTTTTCTTTTTCTCCTTAATTGCAATTAATATTTTCTAATTTCTTTTATTCGTAATTGTAATGTCTTCAATTAGATTGGGATCAGTTAATGATGAGATTAGAGATTGTGATTGGTTTTTCTTTGTATTACAATTTGAATTGGTTAATATTGATTGACAATTAATTGGATCACGTAATTTTCATCAATCAGATTTTTTAATTTTCTTTGATTTTTTTGCAAGAAAAAAACAATAATATTAATTTTCACAAATCGATTCAGAGATTTGTTAATCCCTCTCGGTTAATCCGAGAGGATTAATTTAGTCCAAAGGGATTCACACTCCATCCAATCAACACTAACTAATGGATCTAATCAAATTAATTATCTGTATAACACAATAAATTATTATGTAATCAATCACAGTACACCAAATGATGAATATAATCATAATTAATATTAATCAATTTCTAATAATAAGAGAAAATCATTCAAAATCATTTGATCACTAATTCAATCACACGTAACAATCAACTCTCTTGATCTAATTAGAGTATTTTTTTTAGGTACCAATACAATCAACCATCAATTAATTAAGGTTCTAGATCTAAATTATGATACTTATCATGATAACCTTTCAACAATTAACTTTAATTTAGTTGCCGTTTATTTTTTCTTCATCTAATTATCTAATACACCAATCGAATAGCAAAATGGATTAAAACAGAAACGATAATTTGATATTAAATTACTTTAACTACTTATCTAATTTGGATTAATTTACCAAATCGCCTGAGGCTATTAATCCACTACGATCTTTTAATTAGCAACAAATTACCTGAGCTACAATATCTTGATTATAATAACTGATTTACATTAAATGTCGTCATTATCATTAAACAACATGGTTTAAATCACGAATCAAACAAAACAAAAACTTTTTCCCTCTTTCTTAATTGTAAATTTTATGAGTCAATTAAATTTGTTTTCCTCTCACTGATTATGATTTAATTTGATTGAAATTTTCCTATTCTATTGCTGGTAAACAATTAAGATTGCTAATTCCATCAATGAATCATTCATTTGCAATTCTGTTAACCGGTTATATTAATAGTTATCACCTTCTAGGAGTGTTTATTATTAATCACTAATCAAGTTAATCGTTACAATAATTACTGGATTATATTTGATTCTGTTGAAAGGTTAATCTTAAAATTAAACTTTTCTCTTATTAAATCAATTGATTGTTTATTCAAAATCATATTCAGTCACCAACTTTGTTAGTGATTGAAACGTTTCACTAATTGTTGAGAAGTTTAATCAACAATTAGCAAAGGAAATGAATTATCAACTTTTCCTCTCAACGAAATAATTTCCTATTCAATGTTTTCTTCCTTCTTATCATGTTAATTTCATGATAACTTGTTTTCTTCAAGGATCTTGACAATTATCTTTTTCATCATGATGATGAACAAAAATTTCAAAATAAGAAGCAAAAAATTATCAACTCAGAACTTGAATTCTGAAGCCATGAAAATTACTGTTGATTGAATAACAAATTTCCATTGATTTTCATGAGATCTCTTCAATTTCTTGTTCGTATCATCATTTGTCATCCTTTGTCTTATCTTATCTTCCTATCGGATTAATATTAATCATCTCTCATATTAAACTCTAAGTACATGGTAATCATGATTAACTGAAATTGATTTTTTCCGAAATTCATAAAAATAAAAAGTAAAAAAAATCATAGAAAATGTAAAACACAAGAAAAAACAATTAACTTGTAATTGAATATCATTAATTATTGCAGTAAATTTAATCACTATTTTCATATTTAATTGTTCCTTGATTGTTAATCCATTTGAAGAGTGAAAAAAAAACAATTAAACTTTAATTACGATGTAGGTAAGTAAACAATTAGCTAATGATTTAAATTGTTCACAAGCCATATGAATGCTTGAATATTATTGATAAAATTAAATAGCAATTTGATTATTTGGTGGGCTATCAAGTTATCATCATCATCAAGTGAACAACAATTAAATTTAATCCTCTATATGATTAACTTTTCTCATAGACTGAGAATCAATTTTGGTTCTAGTTGGTTTATCATATGTGACTTTCCATGTCAATTTATTAATTGTTACCATAAATTCAATTCCATTGATTAAACTTTCTCTCTGTTGGACTTTTTTTTTCAATTGTTCACAGTTTACAGTCTACGATGTTATACTTGTAATTCAATTGTTGATCCATATTGCACCAATCCCTTCAATCCACCCGATTTTGGACCTCTAGCAATTAAATATACTGCTGATTGTGATGCGACAATTAAAACGATTGTTGATAAAAACGATTCAACCTCAATTGGTGTTGACCGAGTTCCTGGTTTAGGTTATGCTTCAATCTGTCGGAAAACTGTTCAAAAAGGTCTGTGATTAAATCATAATTATCATAGTTAATTGTTGCTTAATTATAATCAAATGTTGGTTAATTATGATTATGCTCAGAATGATGATCATCAAATGTTTGATTGCCTTTTTTACCTTGAGCTTTTTTTAGCAATTCAACAACAATTAAAATAATAAGTGTTAACCTAACGGTTTTAATAGGAGTATGTGATTAACTTAATTGTTTTAATCATGTTAATTGTAATCAAAATTACGTGAATGGTATATTATTATCATTACCTTGTTAGTGTCCTTCAAATTTTTTTTTAATTAAATTATCATCATGATGATTATTCATCATTTGTCCAGGTAAATTTCATAATCAATCATTACTCAATTGATTGGAATATAAAATTCAGATCACAATTGATTATCAAATTTGATTAGCTTTTTTTCTTCATTTTCATCAGTACAATTTAGTTAATTATCTTTCATTTTAGAGATTAACAATCAAAAACAATTAACTGATTCATTTGCGACCCAATGAAATTGAAAAGTTTTCAATCCTCATGCTAATTCAGTCAGTCATTTAATGGTTACAGTTAAATGACAACTGATTTTAGATAATTATCTTGATCAGTTATCTTGATTACCTTGATTGTAACAATTAGTACCAACAATTAAGATAAACAGTTTCACATAAATCATCTAGCTGATTGATAATGATCATTGGAATTGTTAAAAACCAATTCTGAGCTTAATAATCAAATTAACTAACCAATAAGTTGATCATTGGTAAAAATGATCAACTCGATAATCAATATTGTTTCAAGTGATTAAATATTGACATAAACAGTTCACACATTGACATATAAGTGGCTAGTTAAAGGTCACCGAAGACAAACAAATACAATTACAGTAGTTTATTAACACGGATTAATATGGATTCAGATTAATCTCTCTGAGTAAACTGGATTAAGAAACTATTTATATCCAAGTAGTTAGATTTCAATGTAATCATTATGAGAAAGTTAATTTAAGTCTAGTATACATATTGATAGACCTGGAAAGTGATTAAAACTGCACTTTGATCATTGGAGTACTTAAATCAGTTGTATTATATTAAGATATGATGATAACAATTAAGATGAGAGTAAAAAAAGAAACACAATCAAATCAACAATCAAGTTGATTGTGTAAAAAACCAGTACGCATTTACTATAATTGGATAAGTGTAAATCACTCAACACTTACTCGTATCAATATTTACAGTAATAAACAGCAGCTTCATAGCAATTAACACATTGGTGTTAAATTGTTTGTAAACAATTACACAATTTGATAGTAAACAAACTTTTAAATATTTAAAAAAGATCATCAAAATTATGATGAATGTTTTGATTATGAAATGAATACAAAGTTATCACATTTCAGTGTCAAAATCAATCATAATCAATCAAAAAAGGTCAATAATTTGATGCTGTTTTCGCAACAATTAACTTGAAGTTTATTTTTAATTGTTTCTCGTTTAATTTTCAGTTGATGGACAAGAGCGGGTTCATCGTTCCTGTGGTTGGTACAAAGCGGCCTCGGAGACCCCCGGGTGCTATCAGAAAACGGGCTCAATGGGAATCACTCATCAAATTTGTTCATGTCGATCCGATTTCTGTAATGGATCAGTAGATTTCCAGATTAGTTTAATCACCATCTTAATACCAACAATTATCCTGATAATTACAACATTTAGCTTGATTTAGTTAGCATAAGATATTGAACAATTTAAACGTTGATTAAATTACATGTAATTTTCATTTAGCTTAACCAATCAATCCCAGATTATTGTAACTAGAATTGATAATTGTCTATTAAATTACGAGATTGGATTAACATGACGAGAAGACTAAAAAAATTAAAGATTAATTTGATTAATTGTCAACGAACAAACAAAAGCCAATGTATTAACTGCCAAATGATTAAATGATATTTAATATAACTTATTGACTGGAACTAATCTTGTAAATTATCACCATTTAAATTGTTGTGTGTTGATTGTTGCTTCGGTAGCCACTAATGACAATTAAGTAATCATGTTAAATTGTTGTTACCCTGATGTAATAACAAGAAACAATTTAGAAAATGTCAACAATTAGAATGGAGGCCGAATGAAAGAAAAGAGAAACGAAACAAGTTGAATTCTGGTTACATTCCAAGTGACAGTTGAGTATTTTCATGATAATCTAAAGATAGTTAACATGGAGATGATAATGATGATGATGATGATGATGATGATGATAAGAGGAGTCGGGAGTGAATTATGAAAGTAAACAAATGATACAGAAATTGGAAACAATAATTAACCAAACATTTATCAAGTAGATGGCAGGAGAGGTAACAGTTGATTCTAGAAGAAAAGTTCATGATGATGAGCTTTTCATCATTGAGAGAGAGAGAGATGAGAAGGAGGAGTGAGGGGATGAGATTTATACTTCATCTTCCATCATCATCATCATCATCTGATAACATCAGCATTTGTCATGGGTAAAAACGAAGAAGAATAAGATGAAAAGAAGAATATTTTTCTTCGGATGAAATTGATGGCGAAAATGATGAGCATGATGATGACGATGAAGATAAAGATTAAGATGATGATAAGGAAGCTAAATAATTCCAAGTATTCAACAGAACAGGGAATTAAATGACCATGTTACTTGAATTGAATTGAAGATTAAGCTTGCGGAAGAAAATTTGAAGAAGAAAAGTTTTTCTTTCATTGTTTAAAGTTGATTTCTAATCACAATTAAGATGGAAACAGGTTAGTTAAGTTAACATTTATGTCCCATTGACAATAACGATGGTTTTTGCCTACAACAATTTAATAACAATCAACAATGACATTGATTACAATTCTCAAAGTGTGTATTTAGTTCAATCAGTTGACAAACAAATGGAAAAATGTTCACAAATCAACAATTTGATTAATTTGGTTTAATTTCTGTTGGAAGGTTAATTAGAAACGGAAATAAAAAAAACTTTTCTCAATTAAATTTTTCTTAAACGTTGATTGATGGGTTTACTAAATTTACTTGAATGGTTAATGATGGTAATCTAATGACGATTATGATTAACAATCAATGATGAAAATGAATTTCAATTAACAGAATTATCAAGAAAAAAACTGCCATTTAAGTTTCATCAATTTAACAACTTAATTAGTTGGTTATGTAAATAATAATTTATTGATTTTAATCATTTAAAAAGATGATCAGTTTTCAGCCTGGAGGCAATTAACTTACGATTTGATGATAATCAGTTACAATCAATCAAATTTGGTATTGATTATCATCACAAACCCTCATTGATCCTTAACCTTGTCTCATATTGTGAAAATGAATCAACTAATAATAAAGATAAAACTAAATATTGATTAACTTAATGATTAGAAAATTAAATTGTGATTCTGTCAATTGTTCAGTTAAACTGTTCACAACGGGGAAACTCAACCTTGTCATGATAACTAATAGTTAATTGTAATTGTAAATTGTTAATTTCATTGATAAACAATCATCTTTATCCTTTTTTTCATCTCTCATCCTTTTCATGGTGATGATGAGGATGATAATATCTTTTCATATTAATTTACATCATCCTCATTATCATCATCTTCTTCCCGGAAATTTAATTCCTACACAGAATTGATTGGTTCATGTTGATTGTTGTTTAATTCATGGTTCATTAAATTGTTAAATGTTCATAGGTATGAAGTTTAAATAGCCTATTGGTTGTTGATTAAATTGTTTTAATGTTGGTTAAAAAAGGATTGGTTTGCAAACCATAGTTAATTAACTCAACTAAATCACCAACACAACAATTGAACTAATCAAACTCAACCAATCCTAACCAATCCCTAAATCATATTGTAACTGACAATACAATTTGTATCAGTTTAATATCAACTTAATCTATTTTAATTGTTCAACCTAATTGGAGAGGTAAAAAAATTGCAATTAGATTGACGTTTCATGTTTTATTGTTGATCAAAATTAGTGTTTAATGTAATAGTTAATTAAATTAATTCATCTCTTTCTTTTTTTTCAACTGATTAACTTTTATCTTCCTTTCGAATTGATTTACCAGGTGAACGGTAACAATTAAAGTCAATCAGTAAATCAATAAAATCCCTCATCTTTTGATCATTGACAACGAGGTGAATTAGTGAATCTGGTTAACAGAAACATCTAGTTGATTATGAAGATGACAATTAAAAGTTAATTACTCCACCGTCATCGTTATTATCATTTCTCATTAACGTTAATCAGCAATCAGATACAATTAGTTACAGAAAAACAAACAGTTTTTTGAAATATTTCAAATTATCATTAAATCATCATTAATACCCGAGAATAGATTAACTAATTATCATTCTCGAAGTGGAACAATCAACAAATTAGTTTATTGGAAAATTGATTACCAATTGAATAATAGAACCAGAAAAGGAAAACAAAATAATTGCAACACTGAGAGTTGATTTAAATGAGAAAATTGGTTATTTTTTAATTGTCTTAATTACTGGTTAACCAATTTGATTGTTATAATTAAAATTTAGACCAATAATCAATTCAATTTCAAACCTTGGCCTTAAAAACGTATAACAAGTTGACTGATCACAATAACCTGATTCAGAAAACAATAAGCAACAAGTTTTTCAGCCAACCAGCAGTTTCATCACAAGTTGATTAATTAAATGAGTTGACGAAACAATTAAATTGAAAAAGTTTGATCAAAAAAAGAAATGAAAAGAAGTTAACTCATTAGTTGATCGGTGAGCTGCGAGATGTCACTGAAAGAAGAAAAGTAGTGAGAATAGCAAGTCGGTCTATTTGTCGAGCAAACTTGAGAATAGCTGTTGACTTGTATGGTTGAAGTTTCTGAGAGAGAAAGAGAGAGTAAATTTTTTCAACGATTTGATTGTCATTTAATTGCCCAAAATGTGAGAACAATTTTTAATCAACTGATTATTTAATGTGAAATTTAATGTGATTTACGGTTACATTTAAGTTTACTTGTTGTTCATGTAAATAATGAGAGGATTGATGATCCAATCAAGGTAAGAAAATATTAGCAACGATTTTCACCAATTCACCAAATTCTTGTCTTTCTTTTTTTTGCTATCAAGTGAATATCAGTTGTTTCTTTTTCTTCTTAAGTGATTTAATTTTCCATTTTCTCTAATTTTTTGGTGATTACTTTCGTCTCTTTCTATTTACTGTCTTCCTACTTTTCTCTCTTCAACCATCCCTTCGTTATTTCTTTCTTTTCCTCCTTCTTTTCCTGTCATTCACTTGCTATTGAGTTATTTTTTCTTCTCTTCTTCATTTTACTTGATATTTATTCTATTCTAATCATCTCTCTTTTTCTCTTATTTTCTATTTTCTGTTTCATTTTCTTTTCTCCATTTTCTTTCTTTTACCTTTTCTACCTTTCATTCATTTTTAGCACTTTACCAAATCCACGTTTGAAGAAAGACATAACTGCCTCATTAGCCTCAGATGGTAGGATCTATTACATAAACCCTGTAAGCCAAACAACTTCCTGGTTACCACCAATTGATGCTTGGGATGCCGGTGATCCTTGTTTACCCTATGGTTGGGAAATTGCTTGTGACTCAGAGGAAAAATTATTACATCAATCACATTAATAAAACAACTACATATGAAGATCCAAGGAAAGATGAAGATGAAGCACCACCACAGCCAAGAGAAGTTGAATTGCTTCGTGATCCTGATTGTGGATTTGGGTTTGTCGCAGGTTCTGTTAAACCAGTGATAGTTCGTTCTGTCAAAGAAGGTGGGCCTAGTGAAGATAAATTAATACCAGGAGATCAAATACTCAAAATCAATGGTCTTGATGTACTTCAAGCACCTCGAGATGAGGTTATTGATATGGTTAAATCTTGTCAAGACTCAGTTAAGTTGACTGTTTGTCAACCCTATTCAACTCGTAAATCAGCCATTTTAACAGCCGCCAAGAAAGCTAAATTAAAATCTAATTCATCAAGGGTTCGATTTGCTGAAGGAGTTGCTATTAATGGGTCTCCTTTATATTGTCCAACCGCATTTGAATCAGATGTACCCATCATGCCAAATGTGTTGAAGGTTTTCCTGGAAAATGGTCAAACCAAAACGTTTAAATATGACAGTTCCATTACAGTGCAACATGTTCTGAACTCTCTTATAGAGAAACTTGACCTTCGTTGTCCAGAATATTATAGTCTTTGTACGGAACATATTAAATCAATAAGACGGAACAAGTTAACAATTCTAGATCCCAAAGATACTTTATCCAAAATCGCTGCTCGACCTGGTGCTCACAATTTAAGATGTTTATTCAGGATGACCTTTGTGCCAAAAGATACCAATGAGTTATTTAAAAAGGATCCCAATAGTTTTGAATATTTATATGGACAATGTTGCAATGATGTAATTCAGGAAAGATTTACACCCGAATTGAAATATGAAATAGCCTTAAGGTTATGTGCATTACAACTTTATCAACACGCATTAGTCAATGGATTGGTTAATAATCGAGGAAAAGTGAATCTAAAAGCAGTCGAAAAGGAATATGGTTTAGAACCTTTTGTGCCATATTCTTTGGCGGAAACGATGAAACGTAAACAACTTCGAAAGTATCTCATTCATTCCCTTAAACAGAATCGATCCCTGATTCCAACGGGTCAGAAACATTTGACCGAAGGACAAACCAAAATTCATTATCTGACCATCATCAGTGAATTACCCTGTTATGGAGCTAAATTATTCTCAACTATAATCCGTGATTCAACCGCTGATTTAGCATTACTCATATCACCAAAATATGGTATTAGTCATGTTACCCATGGACGTCAATCATCACCGATAACCTTAGCCAAAATAGAGGATGTGACTAGTATTCAAGTAACCAAAGACGATGATCTTAGTTTTACCGTTGAAATACAATTAAAAGGTACTGGTAGTTCAATCGAAACCTCACCGTTACATTTTGCTCTGGACGAGAAAGATGCTGAGGAGTTTACCTTGGTTCTAAAAGGTTATCATCAATTATTAACAAAAACTGGAGATGAAAATGATTCCAAAGAGATTCCCGTCTACTGGGATGTGGGACCTTCATGGTGGACTGATTCAGGTATGATGAATATTATATTCTAAATCACTTTAACTTTCGCTCTCATTTTCATGTTAACTTCTCTTTCTCTTTTTGAATTTCCAAGCAACAAAAGACTGTTATTCAATGAAACCAAGTAAAAATAAAACAGTCAACTATTAATTAGCTTTAATTACAATAGTAAGGTAAAATAATGATCACCGACATTATCAATAAACGTGCTACTTGGATCCAGTACACATCAATAACTATCAACTCTCATATATACAAAAAAATGATAATAATAACGTTATTACTTTATGGATTACAATAGATTACAATTGAATCCAGAAAGAGACGCCGTTAAATTTCAACAATGTATTTGAACATCAAACTGTCAATTCAATTAATTTATTTTCTCTCTCTCTCTCTCTTCAAATGCTATCAAAGATTTAAGTGAATCAATGATTGGTAAGAGTAGGAGCTTAATCATAATAATCGTAATCGTTTTAACCATTTTTCCCTTTCATTTTTTTCTCGCTCGATAGCATGTTTAAATACTATTACTATCATAACTCCAGTTATTTCATTAATATTATTTATATTAAATCACTCCATAGGTTTCTTTATTTAATTTTATTTCCCTTGCAAGGTTTCAATGTGTCATTAGTTAATTGCATGTTCATTTTTATTTGATTTTCGTTATTGTTGTGAATTAATAACTAATATTTAAATATTTTTTTCTTTAGCTCCAAGTTATCATGGTAAACATTTGGTTAGAGTTGCCCCCTGGTCATATCCACAATCAATTGATCCAAATGAATTTCGAATGATTGACTTTTCTCAACCACCGACAACAGCCATGTCATTAAGCCTCGATGAATCTAATTATGACAATGGTTACGAATCTAATAAGGATGACTGTGATTACCTAAGCTCACTAATAATACCACCTCCACCAACAAGTTCACCCTCCTTTAATCAAGAACTAGATGAGATAATTGCGAGATTTTGGAAAGCAACAGATGATGTGAGAAAAGTTTGTAACGAATCTGATTAGTCAATCTTTTTGTCCTATTTCATTTTTTTCTTAATTTTGTGTTTCTTCACACTCATTGAGTAAATTTTATAAACTTTCATCAATAAATAACTTTTTCTCTTAATCTGATTACGTATTCATCAAGTTGATGCCAATCGAAACAAGTCTACAGGTAATTTGTTTATCGTAACAACGAAACAATTTCCTAATTGAAAATCACTTGTTGAATGTGTTAATTGATCTTTTCAAGATCTTTGAGCCTTTGACCGGGTCATTAGATTCCACCTTAAGGTTATAATAATTTTCTATGGTCAAAAGAATCGCGAAAATTGACCAGCAATTAATTTGGTGTTTGAAAAACAGAGAAAATTATGAAACATCTAATCAAGTTGATCATTAAGTTATTAATCATCGCAACAATTAAAGTATTACAGTAACAAAGTTAATAGTGAAACTCATGTTTCCTCAATTAGATACACTATTTAGTTAATTATGATTTAAATTGTTGTTAACCAATTATGTTAACCCAAAAGTAATCAACTTTATATAACTCAAATTGCATTTGCTACTTGATTTTATTTGATTTGCATTCCCGATCATCTCAATTACAATTAACTTAACCAATAGCACAATCAATTTAAATGGCGATAATCAAATATCTCATGTGATTGTTTCTCATGATTACAATTTAAATTGTTAATTGTTTTGTTTACTTGGTCTGGGTTAATCTTAAATTGTTAATCGATAATAATTATTGACAATCAATTGTTTTTTACTTGTTTTATGTCAACTGTTGATCCTTTTTTTTGTTGTCATGATTAAATTGATGTTCATTCATCAGTCAACAAGGACAATTGTTTATTGTAAATTGTTATAATAATATTAATCATCGTAACAATTAACACATACCTTTCTAGTTGAATTAGATGTTCAATCATGTTATTAGAAACTTGTAACAATCAACAATCAACAAATACCAAAAGCTCATTAATGGTAATCAATTTGATGAAATTTTCATCATTTCAATAGTTTTCACATGAAAATCAATTGAAAAAAAGATCAATAAACTTATCAGATTAATCAAATTAATTTACAAGCTTCAAGTTTCCTAATTGATTTATATTGATTGTTTATATTAATAGTTTGATTACTTGTTTATTTGTGACTCGTAAAGATTTACAATTAGTGTTAATTTGATCTGGACTAATCAATTATCCTCGTGATTAAAGTTTTAATTGTTCACTCGGCGTTTGTGTGGGTTAACCAACTTTTTAACTGAAAACTTTTCCAATTTAGAAAATTGTTTTTCTCTCTCTCTCTTAAATTCAATGGATCTTATTGTTCAATTTAGTTTCTCAGTGACAATTAACTTAAATACAGAGATGATAATAAGGGAAGATAAAGATGAAGAGCTTGAAAGATTTGCGATGGATAAAAATGACAGAGAAAAAGATGATGATGATGATGAAACTTGAATAAAAAGTTCTCTTCTTTTCTAATTCTATTTTTGACTTTTCTTCTTTCAGAAAGAACAGATTTTCACAATTAGATTTAATCATCATCATGATAATCATAATAATCATCATCTTCTTAATCTTGTAACTAGTAATTTGGTTGGACTTCCGTTCAACAAGTTCCAACAATTTAGAGTCACACAAACACTAAACTGCTCTCTCTCTCTCTCTCTCTCTCTCTCTCTTTCAACATTAATTTGATTGTTGATTGCAATCAATTTGCAATAATCACTTTATCACATTTGCATATTAAGTAATTTACAAATGTAATAATTAACAGAAATCACGGTTCTAGTGAACGTGCAAGTTATACAAATCACAATTCGCAATAGTAGCAATTGATGAGAGATGATGATGATTGCAAGATGAATTTAATCGTTGTGATGATTTTATTGCAAAATAAAAACAATTTTGACGTAAAATTGAAACTGGATTAGCTTAAATTGCAATTGTAATAAAATATGATTGATTTACTTTTGAAGAAAGAAAAAAGGAAGAAAAGAAAATCATATTTCTCATAGAGAGAGAGAGAAAAGTTTCTTAATTCAGTTCATTGTATTTGTCCTAAATTCGTGTTGATGATCTTGAAATCATCTCTCATCTCTAATCATCATTTTCATCCTTTTCATCTCAATCATCTTACATTTGAAAAGCATTAAATATAAATGAAACTTTTTCTATTCCATTACTATGATGATGATGATGATCATTATTCGAGACAATTTATCATCAAATGAACAACTAATTTAGTTTAAATTGGAAATTGGAAAGATTTAACTCATTTACACAGAACATTATTCCATAGAATCACAATTATCATGATTACTCTCAGAATTTTTTTTCTTTATCTTCCTGTTAACATGTAAGTCGATTATTTTTGTGGCCATTGTATCATTAAGAGCCCACAGGGATGATTATGGTGATGATTGGGTGGGTAAAAAATGGATCATCATGATGAGAGAGTGAGAAAGGTGAATGAAGATAAGTGAACGTCTTTGGAAGTTTTCTCTCTCATTCTCTCCCATTGAACTGAATATTACTTAATAAAGATGAAGATGATAATTCAAAGACAATTTCTTTTTATCTCTTTTCTCATCTTCCTTTTTATCTTCATCTTCATCTTTACAGTTGTCATCTTTTCTCTCTGGGTTTTGTTAATCTTTTCCTATTAAATGTAATTCACTAAATTGAATCAAAAGAATAAGAAAGACAAATAGAAAGAGATGAAAAGTAAGAGAAGATAAAATTGATGATTCGAGGAAAAAAGAGAAAGTCAGTTAAATATAATATTAATTGAGAAAAGTAGGAAATTACAAATTTAAAGTTAATCATTTGCTTTTCATCAAGGATGTTGCTGTTTATCCTGTTAACTGATATCTTCTTCATCTTCTTCATCTTCTTTATCACTATCATCATGGTCGTTCTGTTTCTTTGTGTTCATCATCATCATTGTCATCACTTGATCTCTCTCTCTCTCTCTCTCTCACCTTCTTTTAGATTTTTTTTATATTCTTTTCCACCGAGAAATGGAATCAAGCTGAAAATAATTTTCTCATCGATTCTCTAGATCAGAATTCTCATCCTTATCATCTTCCCTGGTATCATGAATTTCACACGGAAACACGCAACAAAATATTCTCCTTCATCATCTTCCATAGTTGCTCCATCCACCCACTCCACCTTCTCTCCCTCTCCCTTTATTAACTCTCATCATGGAAAAATAATAACTACGAATCTTTTTGATTCGTTCTGTATGGTTAGTCCAGAATAATAAACGTTACAAAAGGTTCGTTAGGTTTCAGGGAATCCACACCCAGTTAAGTTTCAAGGACTGAACATGAAAAACATGATCAAAAAAGAGAGAGAATCTTTGTCTTCATTTATCATCACTCACTCTTCCCTTATCATCATCTCTCTCTCTCACTGTCTTTCTCTTCCTTCTAATTGACCTTCAAACTTGTCTTCTTCATCAATTTCTTCTCAAATCTCTCTCTCTCTCTCTCTCTCTCTCTCTCTCTTTGTTCATCATCATGTTTTTTTGTCTATGTTTGAATCAGAAACTTTGACAAGACAATAAACCAATAGCATCAATTGTTATTGTTCATCTTGCTGTTTATCATCATCGTTATCATCCAGATCGTTTTCTGGCTTTTGGGTGACATTTCATGAGATTCAATTAATTTACACAATTTAAGTAAATTGTGTTGTTTAATTGTTATCAGGTCCTTTCCCTCTAAACTAAATCATCTTCATGATTATCCTAATAATCTGATTCCTGATGGTAATGAATAAATTCATGATTGTAATCATGATAATGATGAATGTCAACTGAATTATGATTAAATTTGATTGATCAGACAAGAATTACTAACCAGCAACCTTTTTGTTTATTATTATCATGATTACTCATCTTTATCTAAGGGTAACAATTTAAATTGTTGTTCAAGTTTCTTACATGATTCAATCTTAATTCATTAATTGTGGTTGATGAAAAGCAACAATCAAGTAAATCAAGACGTTACTATTATTATATTAATATTACATTGATTGTAATTAGATTAAAGGATAAGAAATAAGAAAAGAATGAGAAAAATTTATTCAATACAATTAATTGTGATGATTATTTTTTCTCATTGAATATTATTAACATTGGAAAACAACAACAACAATTAACGACAATTTAAGTTTAACATGATTGGTTTCAACTAATATTGTTTTTTATTCATTATCAGTTTTCAAGGGTAAACGGATTTGATTATTTCAATTGCTATTATCAATTGTTGTTATTGTTTAATTTAATTGTCAATCAATCAGGAAATACACAAAGATCCTCTTTGTTGATCATTTAAATTGTTGTTGATTTAGTTTTGGAAAAGTTGTTGATTAGTTTGATGAGAAAGTTAGAAAAGTTTAAGAAAAGGTGAACTAAATTGTTATTGATTAGTTTTTGATTAATCAAAATTCAAGTGAAGATATTTAATTTTACCAAGTTTTAAATGTTAATTAACTTCACTTGATTAGCGTTGAAACAAAACAAATAATCAAAACTGATTGATTACCAGTCAAACAATTTAATGTTTAACCAAATTAACAAATTAAGTGAAAACTAGTTAATGTTAATCGATGCCAAATAATTGACATTGATTGGGATGAGTATTTAAATTGATTGTTAACTGATAACTGTTTCTGTCAACACTAAGCAATTAAATTACTCCTAATTATTGAGATGATAATCAAAACAAAATTGGAGATTTTTTTACATCAACAATCAAAGATCAGAGTGATTAACTTTTCTAATGATTTCGTTTTTCACTTGAAATGATTAACCATTGGATCTTTTGTTTTCTAATAGTTAAGTTAATTGTTGTTTCTCTTGTTATACAATTGAAACTAATTAACTGGAAACACTTTGAAAATATAAACTTTGACCTGTAAACAATAAAATTTAATCAGGTTCAAAGTTTAATTTCTTATGTGAATAATTAATCATGGACGTTAAAGAGAAACTGTTTTCATGAGAAAACAAAAATCGAATCTCAGATTAGCAACTCATCCTCTCTCTCTCTCTTTGGTCACTTTGTTGTGGTCATTAACTTTTTCCTTTTTGGTTATATTCTGGTGTTTATAAGTGTTTATGGCCCACCAATTAATCATCAACACTTATGCTGTTTCATTTTCTTGAATTTTAGATTACCTCCTTTCTTGCTTTGACTTATTTTGTATTAATTAAGGTCAAACGGAAAGGGCAGAAAAGGTCAGAAAATATACTGGAAAAACTTTTCTGTTTACGGATCGTTTTCCGTGAAATTTATGATAACGTTAATTGCAAGCAGAAAAAAGGGGCAAATGACTAATATCTAATTTGCATATTAACATCCACAGCTTATGTTCACTAATTTCCTTGGGCTGTTGTTGTTGAACTGTGTAATCCAAAAGGAAACCTAGAGAGAGAGAGAGAGAGAGTGTATGAGTGTGAGAGAGACAAAGGTAAAATACAGAGAGAGTGTGAGAGAGAGAGAGAGGATGGCTAATGAGAGGAAGATGAGAAAGAGAAAGAGGCAATGGAAGATAATGATGATGAAAGATACAGTAAAAAATGGTTGAAGTTGCTACCTGATCAGGTAAAAATGTGGTTGTTGTATGAGCTGTAAAAGGGAGGAGGGAGAAGAGAAATTTTAAAGAGAGAGAGAGATGATGATGATGTTGGTGTAAAAATGATTTAGCTGAAGCCAATGACAAGAAGCAGATTAAATAGACACTTTTTCATATGTAATCAATTGATTTGGAGGTTGAAGTGGATCCGAAAACCGTTGACATGACCTTATAAGGTGACTTGATGGAGACAGATGTAGATGGAGAGACAAGAAAAACAAACTCCATTCCGAGAAAATGTTCTAAGGCCATGGAAACCATCCACCTACCTTTACTTTCCATGGATAAATAGAAATTGTGTTTACAACACAAGAGAAAAAAGTAAAAATTTAAAAGAAACATAGAAACTGAAAGAGAGAGAGAGAAAAGAAAGAGAAAAAAGAGAGAGCGGGTGCCATCGGCTGTACAATAACCAAGAGAAAAAAGAAAGACGGGTTTTAACTCTCCCTTCTTTATCATCATTTTCTTCTTCTTACCTTGTTAATTTAATCTTCATCTTCTTACCTGTTTGCTTTTAAGTTTCTTTACTTTTCTTCAACTCACCAGCATCTTTTTTTCTTCACCATCATCCTCATCTTCTTCTTCTTCTTCTTTCTCTCTTTTTCTCTTTCACTCCAAAAAGGTTGTTGTTGTGTTGCTGTTACCCGTTTTTCTTAAGACCAAAAGACCGGCTCTTGGTACAAGAAGAGAAAAGATGAAGATAAAGAAGATGATGAACAAGAAAAGGCAAAGAAAGAAAAAGAAAAAAAAATATTATTAAGAAAGGTAAGTGAGGGGAAAAAGAGAAAAGAAGAAAGGTAAAAAAAATGGAAGAGAAAGAAAAGAGAGACAAAAGTAAGAGAAGAAACTTACCTATTCCTTTGGTTCCCTTCGATCCCTCAGCCAATCAATTGGCTTCATTCAAAAAATGTTCTTTGTGCGCATGCGCCCCTTCGGTTTCCCTTCCATTTTCCATTTTCCCCCTTCCTTTGGGTGTGACAACAGAATCGAAGCTTTTACAACATCGTTTGGAGATAAAGCTTTGCCTTTTTCTTTCCTCTGTGTTTCAAATTTTCTCATCTTCATTAGATTATAACTTTACTCTTTTTTCCTCTCATCTTTACCTGGTAATTGTTTTCCTTTTTTCGTTAATTTGTGTTCTAATTTTATTGTAAGTTGGACATTAAGAGGAAATTTTCAATCATCATTTAATCTTCAACAAACATTCCGTCTCTTCATTATTGTTTCAACAAAATTCGAATTGTGAAAAAAAACCACCAAAATTTCACCGACAACTTTTTTTTCCTTAATTTAAATATTCGCCTAATCTCATCTCTTCTTCTCTTCTTCTCTTTTTCTTTTTTCATTGCAATTGTGACACAGTTTTTTCTTCTCTCTATTTCTCCATTAACATTGTGACTCAAATTTCCAACACTGGCCATAAGTTAATCAATCTTTTTTTTTGTTACATATTTTTTTTCTTCTCTCGCATAATTACTCTTACATTTTAAAATAATGTTCATCTTGTCATTATTTTTGTGGTTATCCATTTTGACTCGGGATAGTTTCGGTCAAAATGAAAGTATTTTTCAATGGGTTTCAAAAGCTGGTAAATATACCAAATTCCTTGAACAATTAAGAATTGATAATCCAAAGCTGACGCAGGTTATCAATTCTAATTTTCTTGAAGTGACCGCTCTCATACCCGATAATAATGCTTTCTTACGATTTGGTAAATCTTCTAATGACTTAATTGCTGCCCATCTTCTCACTAACTCCTATAACACGGATAGCCTTCTTAAATTGGAAAATGTTGCCTCTTATGATGTTAAACGGCCAAAACTTCGTTTCACCAGTGGATTTAGCAAAACTACTAATAAAACTGAAGTTTATGTTCTAAATGCTAGAATCTTGGAAAGCCATAAAGTAGGTGATTCAATGGTGCATATTATCGATCGTGTTCTAGACCCACCTAAAGCTACATCCCCTGTTGCCCCTCTCGCTGTTGAATGGATTAACAATCATAATATTTACCCAAGTATCCAAGTTAGAGGCGGTGTAGATGCTTTCTCATCTCTCATCAACTCAACTAACGCGGCACAATATTTCGACTGTTTAGCTTGTACCTTCTTTGTTCCAACTCAAATTGATTCGGGAACAGCAAACCTTATCAATCGTAATGTTATCATTGGACACATTATCCCAAATCATGTTCTTTTCTTGCGATCTATGAACAATACCACCCCTTATAAAACTAAGGCTGATTCAAATGAATTAAGTGTACAACTTTTCAAAGAGGTTCGAGGCCTTGATGAAAGTGCTGTTTCTTACATTCATTCTTCAACTAAAGGTACCTTAAAAAGTATGCGACTTGGAAACACAAGGGTTAAGGTTATTCAAGGAGATATTCCTGTTAGCAATGGTGTTGTTCATATTATTGAAAAGCCATTGATCATTACCGACATGTCTGTTTTGGATTACCTTAAAGAAGAAAGCTCTACATCTTTATTGAAATTCTTCAACCTCATTCAAGAATTTTCTAGCCTACGATCATATTATTCACGTGGTGATGCTAGCCGACCATTAACCTTGTTTGCCTTTACCAATGAAGCCTATGAATCGGTTAGGAATGATATCAATATTCTTGCTCGAAATAGAACTGCTATGGAAGAGTTAATGAAATTACACTTTGTCGATAATGAAGTTATTACTTCTCAAAATGCTGCTACAATCAAGGAAAAAGCTTCACTTGCCCCAAACAAAAAGTTATACTTCTCGGTTGCTGCCGATCGATTATACGTTGAAGGTGATGGTGTTAAAGCCGCAACAGTCTTACAAGATATCGCTTGTACCAATGGTGTCATTCATGTGATCAATAAGGTTCTTGGTATTCCCAGTTCCCCAATCAAAGATAAACTTCGAGAAGATCCTCAATTACGAACAACTTTCACCGTTGCTGAAAAAATGCGATCCGATTGGATTAACAAATTAGGTAATTCTGCTAAAAACTTCACCTTATTCGCTCCATCTGAAGCCGCTTGGAAAAAACTTGCTGAGGCTGACCCATCATCTCACAAACAATTGGTAGACGGTCTTTATGCTGACAATGCCATGAACATCCTTAACCGACATTTGGTTGAAAATCAAGCCATTTCATTGGAAAATTTGAGTTCAATGCTGGTTGTTAATACCGTAAACTCACAACTTCAAATTGAGACCAAAGCTTTACCAGGAGATCAAAAAGTTATTCTTAAATACATGCAACTTAAAAGTACCATCGTTCGACCTGATATCAAAGCAATAAATGGTTACATTCATGAAATTGATACAGTCCTCATGCAAGATTCAGACCTTAAAGTTGACCCATCAGCAGTGAGAAGCTCAGCACCATTTACTTGTGTCAGTCCAGCCATAATTTTTATCTCATTCGCAGCTTATATTCTCAAATTATTCTAGAAAATCTCATTTTTAGCAAAATTTTAAAAAATGAAGACCCAAATTGACCAAATGTTTTCAACAAAAACTGTAACTTTTAAAACTGTAATAAATGACTCTATGAAGACCTTGGACAATTTATATAAATTTTATTATGGTTTTCATTTAATTATGTATTTAATGATATCTGAATATTATTATTATTATTATTATGTTAACAAAGAGAATCGGGTAAATGAATTTAAATTTTTGTTTGTTCGTATTACGATTTGAATATAACAAATTGATACTTGAACTTTGAATCATTTAAAGAAAAAGTTTTCAAATCTTCAATTCACCAGCCGGAATACAAGTTCGCCTGTGAAGGTAAAATGTGTAAGTGAAAACTTCGCCACAATTTTCACAAGTCTGAGCTCGGTGGTAATGATCGTTCATGATATGGTCTTTCCATAGACGGACTTTCGGGTAAGTTTGGTTACAATGGAAACATCTGATGTTCTTGCCGACGAAATAAGGCTTAGGATTTGGAAGACTTTCCTCAATTAGTCTGTAGAATTTAACCAATTCTTCTTGGGCGGGGGAAAGTGGATATTTAACTTTACATCCTCGTGGCTTTTTACCAGTAGATGAAGGAGGTTCAGGAGAGTAGGTGGTGTCACTGTGGACATTATTATTATTGTTGTGTCCATCGGCATGCAAATCAATTGGTCCTTCATTTTGAACGTCAGATTGTTGATTGTTTTGAGCATCGGCTTGAGATGATGGATTTTGTACATCTATGTGAACATCAATGTGAACATCGTTAGTAGAATCATCTTGTTCCTCTATTGAACCATTATGCTCATGGTTTGTGAGAGAAAGATCCAAGTTATTTAAACGGTTAATTATATCATCAGCTTTGGAAGCATCAATCAGGTGGGAACCTTTGTACAATAGATCGTATAAGCATTTTAATCCAGTTTCATCTAAACCAGGAACTTTAATTGAACCGAGACATTCAAGATCATGTCCTTTCTCCTTTGAATACTCAAGAGCATGATAAAATTTTGATGAAACACATCTAAGTAAATCTTTGTGAATATGTTGAACTGAACCATCACCTCCAATCACCTTAAGGTCAGGATCAACTTTTAGACGCTCGGATTTTAAAAGGTTATAAGACACTGAGGTTTTTAGTTTTAAAACTATTTTGGGTGGCATAATTTCCTCGACAACAGAACAAACCTATCAATTCAATTATCGATTAATAATTAAATAAATAATAAATAAATAAAAAAGAAACAATGAAAAGGCACCAATGGAACAGAATTTCAGTCAAATTCTCAACCTATCATTTAGAATTAATCATTTTTATTTTCCCATACAAACGAACACGGTGGCGCCATCTCTCCGCCGAATTCAAAACTAATTCGGTATAGGGGAAATTCAAAAATCAATCAACAGTCACTCGAATTGTTTTCCTTGTTTCTTGTTTTAATCACTTCTCTTCAATTTGAACAATTTTGTGATTTTCTTTGTTTTGAAAGTGGTGGTCGTTGTTGTTTAAACTTCAGAGTCACGTTCTTTACTATAAAGAGACTACTCAAAATAGAAACCAAATCAATTCCTTAAAAATGTTGGTCTTCAAGCTTTATTTTTATGTTCCAAAGTTACTGGATTTCCCTGAGAATGTGTATAAAAAAATGATTTGTGATGCTTCTTGTAAGGATCTTGATGATTTACTTGATGTTGAGGTTAAGAGGTTTTCGAATTTCATGAGATTTGACTTGACTGTTACTCCTTATTTTCGTAAGCGTATGGATAATGCGACCATGATTATCGGTTTATACGATAAAGTGTATCCATGCTATGATTTACTACCAATCCCGGAAAAGGTGTTGGTCGATGTCATCAAAAAGGGTCGAAAGAGTTTAAAAGATTTCTTGAGAGATTATCATCTATTCAATTTTAAAAGTGTTGCTTTGGAGATAGAAAAGACATTTCAAAGTGATTTGAGGGATTGTAATCTGTTTCCTATTTTCAATGGAAACTATCGACTTGTTATTAGATTATAGCTTTGGTCAGGCTTTGATCTCTTCCACTGACACAATTGTATTTACTTTTTTCTTATAATTATTGTAATTATTGATTGTTTATCATTTCATTAATTTTTCTTAAAATTGTTATTGATTAGATGGAAGCAATTGCCATTGATGACCTGAAAAGTTGGCAGCCATAATTGGATCCCGAGCCTGAACGATTTACAAGAACACAAATTGCTAAAATTGGTTAGACTTGAACCATTTAAATTTTTGATAAAATTGATTGAAATTGAAATTTGAAAAGCAAAGCTCATTTTCATCTTAATACTTTGTACCAAAAAAGACGAAAATAAATTGTTAACAATTTAGATTTGATCACTAAAATTACACATTCATTGGAAATTGTATCGAGTATTGAAAAGTTAATGAGAATCACTTGTCAGGAAAATGATGATTGGTGTTCTCACTTCATTTCTTTCCTTAGGGTATGAGAAGTGAATTTATTGAACAATTAGATGCAATGAACAATTGAGAAGAAAGAGATTCCCGTTAATTAAATTAATTGAAGTTCTATGAGTTAACCATGTGCACTTGGAATTATATTATAAGCGAAAGAGAGATGGAGCTCATGTTCCTTCAGTTTCTCTCCTTCAGATGCTTTCATTTTATTTTCTTCTTGTTCTTTTCTATTTGTCTGTGTATTATTTTTCTTTTTTTTCTTATTTTCTTTTTTTTTCTCTTGTGTTTTAAGTGATTTTCGATTAAAAATGTCAAATAAAACATTTTTAAAACTCAAACCATCGGTTAACTACAACGTTTTAAAAGCAAAACTTCAGAAAACTGATCCAGACTTGAAAGTTATCGGAGGTGATGGTTCAGTCCAACATATTCACAAAGATTTACTTAGATGTGTTTCATCCAAATTTTATCATGCTCTTGAGTATTCAAAGGAGAAAGGACATGATCCCGAGTGCCTTGGGGCCATTAAAATGCCTGGTTTAGATGAATATGGGTTAAAATGCTTATACGATCTATTGTACAAAGGTTTTCATCTTACTGATCCAAGTAGAGCTGATGACGTTATTGCCCGATTAAATAATTTGGATATTCCATTGGCCAATCAGGAAAAAAATGGTTCCATTGATGTAGAAACTAACGATGATGATGGTCATCCTGTTGGAAAAAATTCATCTCGAAATGATGCTCAAAGAAAACATCAACACCAATCTAATGTTCATAATGATGGACGGAATGATATTCCCAATGATGCTCATAACAACGTAAATAGTGATAACTACTCTCCAAAGCCGCCTTCATCTACCGATTCAACGGATTCTTCATGGTCAAACCGTTTACGGATTCGTAAGCGAAAAATTTTTACTTCCTCGTCAGCTGATGAATCAGATCCAAGCCCAACTCCAATCACAGTGAAACCCAATCCAACAAAAACTCCAAATCCATCTAAAACCACCACAACTGCAACTCCAACCACACAAACCTCTTCAACATCCATCAAATTAACTGAATCACAAGCAACTTTCGCAACGCCCATCAGCGCATCAAGACGAAGCTCTAAACTTATGTCTCCATCAAATGATGACAATGATGAGCCCAATGCAATTTCTCAAGAAGACCGAGATATTCAGAGAATCACTTCTGTGATAAAAAGCTTCCTCCCACATCCTGCATGCTTCCTAGTTGAGGATGGTAATTTAGAGTGCTTTGTATGTGGTGAAATCTTCCGTTATCGTGATAATTGGCGAAGACATTTACTCGAACAGCACTTTCACCTTACCTTCTTGTGTCCTTCATGTGGACAGAAATTCAAGAGAAGAGGAAAATGCTCGGAACATATGTTAAAGTGTCGTTAGAATAATGAATAGTTATGGACAAATAGCCTTACAGAAATAACTAATTTCTTATTCTCATCATCATCTTTCTCTCTCTCCCTCATCATTAATCATCAAACCCGCGAACGCAAATCGACCTACAAACGCAAACTAATCTCTATGCATTAAATTATTTCCTTTTATTTAAATTCTACAAAATCACAAAATGGGAATGCTTGGTAATATTTTTTTTAACTCACACACACAACACACAACACACACACACTAAACACTAAGTTACAAATAAACAATCATGACAAGAGATTATAAAATTATCTTTAATATACATAATTAAACGTCAAAGTTGATTAAAGTTTGTCATTAATCATCATCTTTTCACAAATGCTAATATTTTGTAACTCAACAAATGAAGACCAACAATCCAAGCAAAAGTGATCAGATATCCTTGGAAAGCGATCGGAGTCGAAGCCGGTAAACCTCTGGTCATTATGGTTCGAAGTCCTTCTGCTGGTAAAGTCGCCGGTAAATACATTGTGGCCCATTTAGCGTAATAGGGAAGCGTCTTATTGGTCCAAAGGACACCCGAAAGTGTAAACGAACCCAGTAAAATGGCATTACAAACAACCGCACAAGCCGAAAGGGTGGGAAGTGCCGCTGCGACCAATAATCCTGTTCCAATCCCGGCTAAACATTGGAGTAATAGTAATCCAAGGGCTTCAAAAGGTGACCCTTTACACGGAATGTCCAGTAAATAGACGCAGAGGAAGAAAATGATACACGTTGAGATGGACGAGAAAAAGAATTGAGTTGTCACATGTGAGATTATTATCTGTCCAATGGAAACACCAGCAGCGTAATTACGTTCAAACATTCCGTCAGTTTTATCGGTAATTATGACCAGAACCATAATGGCACAAGATATTGAATAAGTGATGATTACAATCAATCCTGGTCCACCAAATCCTCGAACTCCAAGATAATCGACTTTCTGTTTCTCACCGAATATCGTTTTCTCAAGTCTTATCGGAAGTTGGCCTACAAATGGATTGTAACCTTTATCTCTTAACGCAGTGAATATAAAATCTTGATAAATTTCATCGATGGTCACCTCAACGGTTATCATTAATATTTTACCAGTTATATCACCGTGAATTTTTACAATTGAATCATTGGCAACCACATCGAACTCCTTTTCGGCGAATCGAGTTTTCAATATGATGGCCGATGAAAAGTTGGCCTTAATCACCATGTAACCCCATAGATCTCGTGTCTTGACATCTTCTCGTGCCTTAGTTACATTATCATAAGGAATTTTAGTGAATACAAAAGAGTTAAATTGTTCCAATAATCTTGTACTCAGACAAGGCTCTCCGGACGCTAATGCTGAACAATTTTCGTAATTAATTATGGCCATTTTTAGACCTTGCGGTGTCCCGCCGATGCAGGCACAATAAGTTATCACAACGAGCAAAGGTACAATCACACGGCCGATCATCGGCTCAGGGCGACGGATATTTTGGATCATTTGTCGCCAGACCAAACAGCGAAATCGTATTGTCCAATCGTCCATTTCATCGGAAGTTGAATTAGACGATAATGAGAGAGGTGAGTTTGACGAAGATATCGATGGATTGGATGAAGATGCTGAAGATGTTGATGAAGATCTTAATTGTGAGAAAAGTGCAAGTTTAGGAACATCTTTTTGACTACTTTGATTATCATCTTCGTAATTGTTATTATCGTCATTAGAATCAATTATTTCACTTTCAATTGAATCATTGAATTGATAAGAGTTTCTGGTTATCATCTTTGATGAGCTTGGTTTACAATCAGTTTCTTTAAATTGTTTGTATTCATCAATCTCATTGATATCAACGTAAGTTGATTGATTGTCCAGTCTGATCATTTGAACATTGTCCTTATTTGAAACTGGACTATTTGAGATCATTATTTCCTTAGGTAGCTTTAGATTAACTTGTTTAGGTTCACCGTTTTTATCGTTTTCTTCATGGTCCATCTTTGTCAATTTCGAACATTTTAACTTCTTATTTACACAAATTCGAAATAGAACATCTTCTAATGAATTGGAATTATATCTTTTCATCAGGTCATTTGGCGCTCCTTCGACCAGAACTTGTCCTTTACTCATGAATCCAACAGAATCGGCTCTTCGACATTCTTCAATGTAATGGGTGGTGATTATGACGGTTATTCTTTCGTTAACTGTGAGCTCGACTAGAAATTTCCAAATTCTCTCTCTCAATGCAGGATCAACCCCGACAGTCGGTTCATCGAGAATCAATAGTCTTGGTCGATGGAGTAAAGCGGACATAAGGGAAACCCTTCGCTTTTGACCCCCTGAAAGTGTCCCAATGTACTGATTTGGATCAGGTAAATCAAATAATTTGATTAAAAGGTTAATCTGTTGATAAAGGATCTTTGGTGGCATCAGATAAAGATTACCAAAGTAAATCAACATTTCCTCAACGGTTAAATCATCATGAAGAGCAATATCCTGGGGCATAAAACCAACACCCACACCAGGTACTCCACTTTCAGGTGATCCCGCCGGGTAACCAAATATTGATATTTCCCCCTGATCCGGTTGACGACAGCCCATGATACATTTGAGTAACGTTGTTTTACCACAACCACTTGGTCCAAGAAGGCCATAAATTTGGCCCATCGGAATCGTTGTATTCACATTATCCAGGACAACATTTCGAGCAATTTTTGGTCCATAAGAGACTTGTAATTGTTTCACCTTAACAGCAACAGTTTCCTCGACCTCCATTTGGACTAACAATTAGATCACACAATTAAATATCACGTAACAACAATTAGACCAATAGATTCAAGTTATTTCACCAGGTACAAAGATGTAATAAGAAAGGGCTTGGAAATAGAGCCAAGCCCAAAACGTGTTGATTTAAAATGAGCACAATGTTGAAAATTGTATCACAAAGAAACAAAGGAAACTCAATGAAAGAAAAAGTAAAATGAGATGAACAGATGAAATATCGATATGGATGTAAATTCAATCAATTATTTGCCGATGATCAGTTAATTGTTCTCATATTAAAAGGTCAGGTTAAAGTTGAGCCGATCAATAAGTTTAATGTGACATTAAAACATTGACAAGGAAAAAAAAAGTTTCGATTGATAAATATAACGACAGTTAATGTAAACAAAATGTTCTCATTGAACGATAATTAAAATGGTTGAATAAATGACCAGTTCAATTACAACATCATCTTAATTGTCCATTAGGAGCTGTTTAGATTAACAGAAATTAAAATAATAATAATAATAAAAAACTGGTTGATTAACAGTAAATCGAGAAACTTAAACAATCAACCAGATCACAGATTAATTAGAATCGTTGATAACGTAATATATTTTAACAAAATTAAAAACAAGAATCAAAGTATAAATAAAATGTTGATTTTTTTTCCTTTTCAAAGAAAAGTGTATAATAAGTGTATCTATTCCCGAGGCCTTTTTCCGCTCTTGTTTTCAGTGAATATCATTATCACCATGAAGATAGAAAGTAAAAGTTACTCAAAATCGGTTGAATGAATAACCTGAATGAAGAAGAAACAAAAAAGTCAAGCAAAGAAAGAAAAAAGAAAGAACCATTTTCAAGGTAGAAAAGAGGTAGAGAGAGAGAGAGAGAGAGAGAGAGAGAGAGGAGGGAGAACTGAAGAAAGTGGGAATATATCATGAAACTGGTTCTTCGCCTCTTCAATGGTTACAGGGTATTTCTGAATTTCCACCAACATCAATTACAAGAACAAACTTTAGTTGAATTAATTTGCAAATGATATTAATCTTACCTTGACCATCATCATGATGTTATAATGATTTTGTTTCACAAATAATTACTTTCACTTTCTTCCTTTATGATTAACTATCTGTTGATTGTTCATTAAAAATATACATAAAATGTAATCAACCTTGTGTATTGATGATATTAAATAATCAATTTCGTTTCTTGAACTAATAATAATTCAGTAATTGATAATTGTAGACATTAACTTTTAGCCGAGAAACTTTTTCATCTAAAGGATAAAAATATTGTTTCTGTCATAGTAATTAACTTTTCTCAACAATTTCATCTCATTCCTGGTTAATTATAATTATATTTTTATCAGTTTATATTTTAATTTCTAATTGTTCTCAATTTTAATTGAAATGTCAACCAGTTGATTAGATTATATTGTTTGATTCAAGTTGAATGAGAGTTAATTTAATCATTTTAATCCTTAATTACGGATAAGATAAAATCACCTTGACCAAAAAGGTAATCATTAAACACTGATACTCAAATTAAATTGACTCGGTAATCAAGGTTTTCACTTTCATTGTGATTAAAGTATTAACAATTTACTGATTGTTTAGATTTACCAATGAACTTACACAACAATGTTCTTGATTAGATTTTCAATTGTTTCAAATTCCCATTTCTCTCTATCGATGCAAATAACCAGTTAATTTAATTCAAATTGTTAATTATTCAACTTTCTTTTAAAAAACTCTCTTCCTTGACCAACTCATCTGCTGATTGTGAAAATTAGTAAATTAATTTTAATGGTACAACAATAAAATTAACTGACGATGACAAATTATGACTAATTGTTGTTGATGAAAAATCACAACAATTCCCCGATTGTTGAATTAACATTTTCCAACCCTAAGAACTTTTTAATGTTCATTATATCATTTGGACAATTAACTGAATTTCTTGATTAGATAATTTCCATAATTTCGCTACTTTATGATTGTTGATTGTCATTATTTTCTAGACAATTGTCTTAATATTTCCCGATTAGATGATTTTAGATAAACACCAAAGGCTAAATAGAAGAAATTTTCTTTCTTTCAAGAAAATGAATCAGCAGAAAATTTTCAATAAACTTGAATGAACAAAATGTTAGAAAGATAAAAAAAGAATTGATTGAAATTGGAAACTAAGAAAATTAATAATCTCCCATCATTCATTTTGACAATCAAATGATGGAATAACAAACAATATCTTAAGTTCATCAGCCTAAGAGATGATTGAACAAATGAAATTGGAAAGTTCAAATCGTTTATCTGTATAAGTCGACGTTTAAAGTATTCGGTTCATTGAGATACAAAAAGATTCCAATAGATTCGTCATGAGATAGCAAAAGTTATCAACATCAGAGTTGTAGAAAATTGATATTGCACGTATCTTGAAACTCCAATGATTTTGTTTTGGGTAGAAAACAGAAAATTACGAATGAACAATTTATTGATAAGAATTATAGTTAGAATCATGTTCATCATTCGGGCTTGGCATTTTCTTTCATAATTCGCTTCTTAAGAAGATTCTTGTAAGCTAAAATATCCTTTCCCCATTTGGTGATTGTTTGATTTTCACAAATCCAAATTTCTTTTGCAACCTAAAAGATATAAAAATAATTAGTATTGATAAAAATATGACAATTATTAATTAGACAATGTCAATAATTACCTGACTGATAAGTCTAAAGTCGTGACTAACGAGCATCAAACCTCCATCGAAATCGTTGATTGCATCAGCAAGAGCATCAATTGTTTCAATATCCAAGTGATTAGTAGGTTCGTCTAGAAGTAGCATGTGAGGTACTTGCCATGCAAGCCAAGCAAAAACAACTCGACATCGTTGACCATCAGATAATTGTCTGATTGGACAAATTTGCTGTCGACCTGTTAAACCATAGCGACCAATAATTTTTCTCATTTCTTCACGTTCTTTAACATCGGGAAAAGCTCTCATCATGTAATCTAAAGCTGATACATCCAAGTCTAACAATTCATGGAGATGTTGATGATAACGCCCTAGGCGAAGGTGAGAATTTTTCCTAACAAGACCATCAGTTGGGACTAATTCACCATAGATAAGTTTCAATAGAGTTGATTTACCAGCCCCATTGGGGCCAACTAATGCAATTCTCGAGTCAAGATCAACACCAAACTCAAGATTTTTGTAAATCAATGGACCATCATCCTTATAACGGAAGGAAACGTTTTGCACCATTATCACAGGAGGAGGTATTCCACCACAGGAGGGAAAATAAAAGGTCAAAGTTTTGTCGGAAACTACTTTTTCTGTTAAACCTCCAGCGACCATTTTAGCCAAAGTTTTTTCTTTACTCTGAGCTTGACGAGCAAGTTTAGCACTACCATGACCAAAACGAGCAATATATTCCTGAGAGATTGGAATAAAAAAAGAGGATTAATCAATTTGCAATAAAATGGAAACTTTCTTCAAGATAACAAACTATCAGTTGAAAAAAAATCGCTTCACCGTATTAAGCATCGCAATTAGTTTATAAAATTAGTAGTAGTGAAACTAAAAGCTAAGATTCGGCATCCAATTCATCCTTTGATAGTTAACTTAATAGAGATAATTGTTGATAATACTTACTTTCATGTGTGATATTTGAGATTGTTCCCAATTGTATCTTTTAGCTTGATTTTCCAATAATTCAAGTCTAGTTTTAACAAAAGCATCGTAATTACCACCATAATAGTGTAACTTTCCATTATAAAGATGAATTATATTGGTACAAATACCATTCATGAAGTCCTGAGAGTGGGAAACCATAACTAAGATTCTTTTATAATTTTTCAATTCTTCTTCTAACCAGACACAAGCATCTAAATCAAGATGATTTGTTGGCTCATCGAGTAGTAAAAGATGAGGCTTAACATATAAAGCTCTGGCTAAAGCGATTCTCATTCTCCAACCTCCAGAAAAATCTTTACATGCTTTAGCTTGCATTTCTGCAGTGAATCCTAAACCATGGAGGATGTAAGCAGCTTTTGCTTGAGCTTTGTCAGCACCAATTTCATCCAATCTTTCATAAATGTCCATTAATTGATCCTGAGATTGTTCGTCATCATTTTGAACAAGTTCTTCAGCTAATTTTTCTAGTCTGGCTCTCTCTTGGTCGACATCTAGAACAGCTTCCAAAGCCGATTTATTGGAAGGCGGAATTTCACGAGTTAAATGATAAATATCAATTTGATCAGGAATTGGAATCTCTCTTTTTCCAATAGCTGATAGTAGAGTACTTTTACCAGAACCATTAAGACCAATCAGACCATAACGACGACCACAATTAAGTTCTAAATAAAGAAGAAATTAAAGACGAATCATTAGAATCGAGTGAAAAGAAAAAAATGACACAATTGATAGTTCAATGAAATGAGAAAGAAAAAAAAATCAAAAGTATAGATAGAAGTAGTTAAAGACTATTTGTAGAATAATCCAGAAAATAAAAACCAACCTAATTTAGTATCAGTTAACATTTCACATCCATGAAAAGTTAATGAGAAATTATCAATCTTGATATCCCTTGATCGAGGATGAACTCCAAGGACACCAGTACATGATCGAAATTCAGCATTAATGTCCAAATCTCTTTCCATTTTCGCGACCAGTTCATCTTCGGCATCACCTTTACCACAATTTTTCACCCCATTAGTTGAATCTTTTGGTGTCTCTTTTTTGGTTACATCTCTTGCTTTGGCTTGTTCCTTTTTCTTGGCTTCACGTTTCTTTTTACTATCAGAAGGCATGATGATCAATCAGCTCGATTAATAGACAACAGAGAGAAACAACAATTTAAACAAATTTAACACTAAATTATTTTCCGACTAAAGGAAATATACAATTAACAGGCAAAAGTGTACAAATTAAATTGTAATTACACAATTAAGAATCAAACAATCAACAAATTCCCCAACCAATCAGCATGGGCAAAGAATAGAAGAGAAGGGGTAAATAGCTTCTTCCATCTGTGGGGAACCGATACAACTAAGGAAGAAAAGCGCGAAATTTAAATTGAATTTTCCAAGAGATTCAATCGATTGAAATAATTTAATTCTAATTCCTAATTATTATTAATAGTTGTTGATTAACTTTGGGATGTTTTAGTTGCTTTTATCAATTGCTGATTGAATGAATGAAATTAATTGCTTTAAATGGTGAATTTCAAACACTTTTATTTGATTATCATTATTGACAATTGATTAAGGGGCCAAGTAATTAATCAATTGATTCTGTTAACTCAATTAGCCAATTCAAGTTATACTTTTAATTTTAAAAAAATGTTTTAAAATTGCGAAAAGTTTGAATATTGGTAATTTCAACAATTTCTCTGAAAATAAATCAATTAACTAATTGAGAATTGTTATTTTATCAACTAAATTCAATTCGATGAGAGGAAGAAAAAAAATCAATAATTGTTAAGTATAGAAAGATAAATTATTACAAGTGTACACTTATCATTGATTTAAATGGTTAAATTATCTGGAAATACAATCACTCTAATAGTAAGTTAATGATAATGTTAATGTTCATCAGTGTGAGTAATTAATTAACTAAATTCATTCATAAATCGCATGTATGAAAACTCATCGTGATCAAGTAATCATAGAATTAGTAGCCAGAAGGTTAACCAATTAAATATTTTAAATTAAAACAATTAATTAGTGAAACTTGTTAAAATCGTTTAATCATCAAATCAACGAAAAAAAATGAACAATTAAATTTTGCGAGAAAAAAAACAAAAAAAGTTAATTAAATTGATCGAAAATTCAAAAAAAGAACATTTCCCTTTTCGACCAACAGATGGCGTTACTTTCATATTCTCCAAAATTGCTAACCCATAATGTGGATTAAAACAGGAGATTAACGATGTAAATGAGAAATGATGATGATGATGAAAAGTAATTAACAATGTAATTAATCAATTCACCCCTTGTGTTTTTTTTCCATGAATGTTTGTCTGTTGAAGGAGCATGACAAAATAACCATGGATTTGAAGAAAAAAATTCAGTCAAGTCTCAAAGAGAGATGATGTTTATTACCCTAACCTGTAAATAGGAAAAAGCGAAAACAAAAAGGTGAGTATTTACAATGTAATTTTAATAATCAGTTAATCGTTGAAAATGTTAATCATTCACTTTCTATGTATATTTTTTCCTCTTTATCTTCCTCTCCTTCTTCTTTTCTTTCTCTCTCTCTCTCTCTCCCTTTCTTAGGAATCCTGGATAAGTAATAATGATGATCTCAAATGATTGCGGTTAGAGAGCAATTTTTTTTTCTACTCTCCTCTATTCACTTATGTTTATGTACTGTTACTTTTACTGGTTAATGATAATGGTGTTGCGAGTGGAGCAATTCTGGTGATTATGATGATGATGATGATGATGAGACACCACTTTATGATCCAAATTAATGTGCTAAGATAATGGTTTTAATACATTTCGGGTCAATGGATGTGTAAATAAAGAAATGAATGAATTGAGGTGAGAATAATTTACACCCAAAGGTGAAGTGGAAAAGCTCAAGGAATGTGAACACAGGTAGTTATTCATTAGGTAAGAGTAACAGAACAAAAAATTAGTGTATATTTATCATACATTGAGAGAAATTAGAAAATAATTGTTTCAACATATCAAAGAGCAATTATTTATTCTCTTAATGTATTTTAACCTTCTCTCTCTCTCTCTCTCCTCCTCTTCTCATTACAATCATAATCATTATGTTCATCTTTACACTATTACTTACACAGTATCTATTTTAGATAAAGATATAGATAAAGTCATTGGCGAAAACCTCTGACTTGATGAATGGGCTGATGAGTAGAAAATCATTTGAAAAGGTTAGTAATGTTATCATTTTTTCTCTCTCTTCTAATTTGATTCTTATCTAATTAAATTTATCTTTCTATAGACGCGACATTTTGACACAAATCTATGGGTTAACTTTCATTTTCCCTGTTGATGGATTAACTTAAACTCACCAAACCAATTCTTCCCTCTCAAGAAATCCTTATCCCATGTTTCCTTTTCCAGAAGAAAAAACCTCAACAATCATCCAATGTATCTTCATATCAACTTGATGTCTCAACATTTTCGACAAAGTAATTGTAGATGGTTGGGATATAAAGTAAAGAGAGAAACAATAAAAGGCCATGGGACAAGAGAAGTTAGCAAACTGGACAAGACAAACACATACAAACAGTGACAAGCTAAAGGAGTGATGTTTAGACTAAATAAGATTTTCCCCTTTCTTTTGATTTATTTGTTCGATTGCTATAAATCAACCGGAAGCTAAAATCCATTACTTTCATTGAGATTGAAAACTGTGTTTCATCACCGAATTTCAACAATAATTCTGTAACTTTCATCTATTTTTCTCCTATCAAAACCCCCCAATGAGCACAAATTCTTTTGTCGTGTGAGTTGTTTCATCTCTTCCATAGGTTTAATCTGCTTTCTTTCTCCTCGTGCACGAGTTTTGTATTCATGTTGCTATCTTCTTCTTTTCCTCCTTCGTCCCTTATTCTTCCTCTCTCTCTCTCTTCCTATTCTTTAGCTAAAAAAGCCTAATTCGCACTTGCCTCCCCATAAATCAAACTGGGTGAGGTTTTCTTCTGCACGCAATCTTCTGTCTTTTTCCTTTTCCCTTTTTTTTCTTCACTGTTCTTTTTTCTATTCTCTTCCATTTTTGTTCAGTCTACTCTGATAATTGTCTTTTTCTCTTTCTATTCGTCTATCCCAGTTCTATTGAACATTTTCCATTCTCTAACAGATCCCAAAATGAGAAGTTAAAAGCTGATAAAAGAGGATATCGAAAGATAGGAAGGAGGGAAAGTTTACTTTGTTTTGTTCCTTAAAGATGAAGAGAACAAGAAAACACCAACGTTATCACCATTATAATTGGTCTGTTTATATTGTAATCGTTGCAGTCAAGGTGAAAGGTTAAATTGGCTAATCAAGGAATGAAAGATGAAAAAAGTACTAAAGAAAAAGGTAATTTATTTACCTCTCCAATTTGTAAGATCGTTGAAATAACATCATCATAACTTAATATTGTTGGTAACAAGTTACAAGAACGAAATGTAATTTCCCAGGTCAAAAGTCACTTCCACCTTATAACCCTTCACGTCTCTGGATATTATCAATATAAGTATAATAACAATTGACTGGAAAAAAGGTAAATAACATCAACAATTAAGATTGTTGGATTATTTTCAAATCAATGGCTCCCTTGAGAAAAATACATTTATCAATAACAATTTACAAATACGATGATGATGATGATGGAGAAGATAAAAAGACGAAAGTAAAATTGATATAAATCATCAATTAATATAACCTCAAGTGCTAATCATCATCACCATCATCATCATTATCTTCAATAACCTTAACCTTTAAACTGTAAAAATTTCATCATTTTTTAATTCGTTTTCAACTTTGATCATTGATCATTTCACAATTAAAAATTGATGAAACAATCCATTCAAATAACAATTAACTCAACTTAAATAATGAACAAGGAAACTTGTTCATCAATTAACAATTACAAGTCTTTAATCACTTAGAGTAATAAATGAACACAAGCTCTAAACAATCAACTAAATCATAATTCACTCTCTCTCTCTCTCTCTCTCTCTCTCTCTAAACCAATTTGATTGTAATCTAATGATGAAAACAATGATCAGCTGTTAATGGTCAATATATTTTACCAATTGTAAGATGGACAATTAATACAAATTATAATTGATCTTAAGCTGTAACAGATTAATTTTTATCCAAAGTGTTTATTATACTCCAAGTGATTAGATTGTATTAAATTACAACACTTAATTTATCCCTTAATGAATTAATAATCAGAGTGAGAGGGATTAGTTAATTACTAATAATAACCTTTAAAGTTAATACTTATATGAATGGGAAGCAAAAATCACGTAAATGAAAAGTGATGCGGTTTTATCATTGACAAAGAAAACAATTAGTCATTAATAAAATGACGATTAAATTAAATGATAATGTTAATGATTCCAATATAATGATTGAAAAGGACAACAACTAAATACAAACTAATTGTAATGATAATGAGAGAGTAAAGCTCAGGGTGAGGGATAAACATGGTGAATGTTACTTTAATTATTTAACAATCGGATCTAATCATTAATATCTTAATTCCATAATCAATTAAATGTTAATGATGAACATTAAGTGACTTGTAAATGTAATTGCGAGGGAGTTAAAGAGGTGATAAAATAACTGATGGAAACTCAACTCATGGTGTTATCGAAATGATCAGTATCATTATTAATGAGCTTTTATCATCTTCTCTTCATTTAGTATGATTATCGTTTTTTACTATTAAATTGATAAGTGGATTTATTATCATTATGATAACATAATCAGAGAATCTGATTGGAATCAAATTGATAAATGATTACCTGGTTTCGATCAATTTAAAATGATAATTAGATGAATATTATTAAAGGTAATCGACGAAACCATTGATAATATTTGCTATTGTTATCGTTTCTCTTTTCATCCTAATCCATTTCATGGTTAATCCATCTTGTTTAATCTTCTTTTTCATCTCAATTAGATGCATATTCTCAAGTTAATTGTCAAGTAATTGATAAACTTTTATTTTCTTCTCTTCTCTTTTACATATAGAATGGAAATAGAAAGTTAACTCTCGATGAATTTAAGGAAAATTCACCCTGATTCTTATTCCAATGGAAATGTGATTTCTCTGATTTTCTGTCAAACAAGTGAGATAGATTAAGATTTTTTTCCTTCTCAAGTAATTCATCAATTCGACTGAATCTGTTCAGGAGGAGAAGAAGAAAAAAAAAGTTGATACAAACATGAGGAATATTTGATCGCATCTTAACATGGAAAGTCAATCAAATTTTTCTCTTCTTTTTCTTCCGCCTTCTTCTTATACTTTTCCTCCTTCGATAACAACCTCTTTTCTGTTCCTGATATAACATTTTCTCTGGGGATTTTATATTCAGTCTCTATCGCCATCTTTATCATCATCATGATAACCTTACTATTTACAATTCTTTTCCCTCTTCTCTCTCTCTCTCTTTCTTTCTTTCTTTTCTCTCCTTTCATCGTGATCATTATTCCGATTGACAAAAATTTGTTCCAGGTCATCTTTGTTTTACCAACCAACGGTAATCCGAAGTGTTTGAAATTGGCCGTTCACCTGACAATTTTTGAGGTTCTATGACTTATGACTTATCGTTGTTTTGACCTGTTCGCGATTGAAAATTAGTCCCTAGCGAATAACTAATTATATAGGATGAATGAGCCAATTGAGTTGTTTAACTAGAAAGAAAGAGAAAAAGAAAGAGTTGGTAAAGATAAATAGTAAGACCAAAAATGATTGAGAGGCTCAGATGATGATGATGATGATGATGGAGAAAGAGAATAGTCGACAAGAACTCTCTCTCTCTCTCTCCATGAACCATGTTGTCCTCTTCAATTCATCAATCCAGGTGAAAAAATATAAATTACCAGGAAATTGATCCCAAATCATGTTTACTTTTGGTAATATTTATTTTCTCGTATTTTGTTTACATTCGAGTCCCGAACAAAGCAAAAAGTATTGAAGTTTATGTTGACTTATTAATTCAATTGGGATGAAATGTTTCCAATGATTAAAGTATCATGATGAAAGTTGTGTTGAGTTTCATGAAACAGAATTGAAAGTTGCATGTTAAGAAAATTCTAAGAACAAAAAAAAAGAAGAAAATGTGAAGTGGGAGGTTTAATCACTCCTTTTACTTTTTTCTTATGTAATCAATCGGCCTGAAAGTCAGGATGATGATGATCATCATCATGAGGATAATGATGATAGAAAGGAAGATGAAGCAAATAATAAAAAGCTAGAAAAAGAGGAAAAGTAAAAAAAAAGAATGAAAAATTGTGAATGGAAATTAACCTTACGATAATAATTCTGCTTTTGATTTTGATTAGAAGATGAGGTTGAGATCATGATGGAAACTCTGACAATGTTGGAACAGAAAATCTCATGAAATAAAGATGAAAAATTCAGCAAAGTTTCTTGTTCTTTTTCTTATCATCATGGTTGATGCTTTATTCTGATGATAACAAGAATAGAAACTATAAAATATGCAAAAAAATTGAAGATAAAACTCGAAACTATGATAAGTTTTCTGTTCTTCCCATTTTGAGAAAAGATAAAAACGACATTTGGTTATTTTCTTCTTAAGCTATAATTTTGTCGCATTTTCCTTTACCATGATGCCCATTTGGATTCTCATTTGGACCATGAACACTTAAGGTGGGTATTAATTTTGTCTCTTATAAGACAAAGACGATGTTAAGAATGAAAATGAATCATAATGAGTCGATATTATTGATATTTGATATTTTTGTTGTTCCAAATGGTGGATAAGCAAAATTGTCAGGAAATTGTCTTCAAAATTTAGTAATAAATCAGATGATTTTCTGTCAGCTAATCAACCTTTTTGGTATGATTTGTGTGACGATAAAGAGAGAAAGGATGATGATATGGATGAGAGAGAGAGAGAGAGAGAGAGAGAGAGAGAGAGAGAGAGAGAGAGAGGAATATGAGGATGATGGTAAAAGATGAAAAGATTGTTTTTCCTTTCACTTCTTCATTCTTGTTTGTTGTTGTTGTAGTTTCACTTGCAATCGAATGATGAATGATTAATTTAGTCCCCATGAGGACATCTTTCATTTCTCTAAGGAAGAAAAATCCTTCATCCTCTCATTTTTCTTCCCATCCTCATCATCATTCTCATCATTTCTTCTAATCTCACCCCCACCTTTCTCTCTCTCTCTCTTCCATCATCCTTGTCTTCATAAAGAGAGGGCACCACTACGATTATATCAGGGAGAAAAAAAATTGTTTCTTCAGCTGAATCTTTCTACTCATTTCAGGTTCACCCTTTGCTATATATTCTGATACTTTTTCATTTCTCTTACACCCTCCCTCCTTTGCTCTCTCCATTCGTCCTCCTCCTACTCCTACTTGCCTCTTTCTTTTCCTTTTTTCTCTCTCTTTTTCTCTTCAACTGACTGAATGAGAAAAACCTTCGCTCCCTGAAGAGAGGATGAAAAAGAAGAAGATGAAAACAGCCCGACTTTTTTTCTCAGGAAAAAAACGATCGGTTTATCGATTTTCTCTCTCTCTCTCTCTCTCTCCCTATCTTCTTCTACTGGCCTTTCTCTTCTTCCATAGAGAAGAAGCAGAAGAAGATGATGAGGAAATAACAATCGATTGAAACCTAGATTGATACCAAATCCATCATTCTAAGCGAATCCTCTCCCTCCTTCTCCTCCTTCTCTCATCCCGTTTTATCTTCTCTCTCCCCCTAAACTTCCCTGTTATGTATTATTATCATCATCAACATCATCATTATCAACCTACATATAAAACGAATGTGAATATAATTGTTTTTACCAAATCGAATGGAAAACATGATTTCTGAACATTTCCATTCTGAAATTTTTTCTTCATCATCATTTATTAAACTCTTATATCGCCTCTCTTTCTCTCTCTCTCTTTCTCTCGAAAAGTTCTGATGATCACAATTGTATATTCATGATATGAAAGAATCAATGAAACATTATCATAATCAAATGATGATCTAAAATGAACAATCTTATTATCTAATCAATTGAAGTAACACTTTTCTGATTCAGATAAAATCATCTAATAGATTGATAAATAGAGAAAAATGTTTCTCTTTTTCCCTGATTATCTAATTAAGTTAATAACCGATTACACTCATCTGGGAACTTAATTAGTAAATAGTTTGAGATGATGATGAGAAAAGGAAAAGAAAGAAATTGAAAGATGAATATTATGTTTATCTTGTTGATGAGATGAAGATAATGATGAAAATTTCATTAATGATGGACACTCAGTGAACATTATCATCTGAATTATCTGAAGCAAGACTCATACTGTGAGAAGTTGCAGTCAATTGATCCACAAGGAAATCAACACCGATACTAATGATTATCATTCAAATAAATAAGTGTTACTATTACTATCACGTCATCATTATCACCAATATCAACAAGAACTACAATAACATGATCATTTTCAGGGTAATTCATTTGAATTGATGATATGAAGAGGGAAACATTTTCACCAGTTGAAACCAATTGAGTTTCATGATTGTAACAATAGTTTAAATATGTACATAAATAAGATATTGATATTAGCCTGAGAAATGATAAAATGTAGCTCATGTTTAATGCTGATGAAATGGCGATAATGATGATAATGATAAGCCGATGATGATGATAATGATGATTGCGATTTATATTCTGATAAAATGAAGTTTCCATCATGTTGATTACCTGTTGACAGGTCAACCGTCACAATGTGATGAAAATGAATCACAAATTTGCATCTCAATGAATTTGTTACCTGTTTGTTTCTGGAAGATTTTTACTTTTTCACCAAGAATCACTTTTGAGTATGGTGATGGTAAAATTGAGTCACAACAACAATGAAAATCAACAGAAAACTTTAATGATGATATGACAATAATAAGGGGCGATAATGATTTCAAATGCATCAACTGTTTTGCGATCAATTTATTTGAAAGCCTTGCAAACAAAACCAGGTAAAGATGAATGCTAAATGATTAAATGAACTTCAAGGTGTCGATTGACCAAAGTAGCGTGAAAAAAACGCGTCAAACAATCAAGAAACCAAGAAAAGGTAAATCTACTTGTTTGGTGAATTATTTTCTGTCTCAATTTGATGAACATTATCAAGACCATCTGATGAATGGATGGTAATTCATTTGCACCCAAATAGCTCATTTATCACCATGTAAACTCGTCAGTTGATATAATACATATGATAGAGACTGAAATTCTTAGGTTGAACTTTAAGGAAAATCTAAACAAATTATTATTATAATGAGCGAATTTCCTAAATGCCAAGTTCGAACTTTTTTTTTTCCTTCTAAATCTCGAAATTGTTTCAAATTTCGAGAACTCCAGCCAACAGGAAACACGTTTGAAACTTTTTTCCTATTCTAATGTTTCTTATCATCTGTTGCCCAATCTAATCTGATGTGTGGTCTGAACGTATTCATGATAAGAAAATGAGATGAGAATAAAAAAAAATATGTCATTAAAAAAAGAAAGGTGATTGTTACAGGTAAGAACTGAACTTATTATTATTATTAACGAATAGAAACTTTTTTTTTCTTTTTTTCTTTTTCTCTTCTAATATCATTTAATATCTTAATGGCCAGTTCTCTTTAAGAACAGATTCAAAGTCCGAAAGTTTATTTTCTATTCTCTTCCCAAGTTTTTCTATCAAAATGATGATGATGATGAAGATAATGATGATAAGATGAAGATAAAAAGCAGTTAAAAGGTAGAAATTTAAAATCTATAAAAGTGTATTTATCTTATATATTCAAAAACAAAGTTCGCTTTCCAAATGTAATAAAAATCTTTCTTCATCGTGAGAGGCTTAATAGTTTTTTCTTCTTCTTGTTGTTCAATGTTTTCTGTAAATTCTTGAGGATGATGATGATGATGATGATGAAAGGGAAGCGAATGTTCCAGGTAACAAAAATGGCGAAATAGTTGGTTTGATATGAGAGAAAAAGAAAAGACAATTTCATGATCATTTATTCGTGTCTTCAATCAACAATCACCGAAATCAACCATCATCATGTTTGATGTAATTCTGTTGATTATACTTATCATCATTAACATTCGTATTGTTATTCATGATTACCTGTATTCTAATGATAAGAATAATAACTTTTATCATTATAGAGAAACTTTTATAATGTCATCTGACAAATTTTCTTCAGATCAATTTTCAGGGCATTTTCCTTGAAATTCCATTGAATTTTATCTCATCTGCGATCAGGCTGATGAAAGAGAAGACAAAATTCTGTTACAGGTAAAAAATTCATCAAGACGAAATGTTGATATTCATTATTTTCTCTAAGCCTTTCATCAAAATTTTCCCTGAAAATCGACTGAGTTTTTATATCATTTCCATGAAGAGACAAAGATGAAAACTTGTCAATATCATGAGTTGATTGTTTCATTTGAAATTCTGGCGGAAAATAAAATCAAAAAGTGCGGCGAACAACAAATTCAATTACTAATTGTCTCTCTTAATTCAATGTCACCATCTATCAATCATTTAACTACAGAATCAATTGTTGATGATAATGATCAGCAAATAATTTATTACACGAAAAAATGTTCAGGTAAAAGTTGTGATTATCTTTTTTTTCATCATAATTTCATGATATCAATCACACTTAGAAATGAACATTTTTTATGCACATATATCAATAAATATATCGTCATCATCATCATCATTAAGATGACTATTAACACTGATTGCCCTTTTGTGTTTAACTTGTTTGATTCTAAACCATCAATTGATTGTAACAATCATAATGATGATGATGATGGTTTGCAAAAAAAAAATTATGTTTACGTTTTTTATATGATTACGATAAGAGCAATTTAAATATCAAATGGTTTGTATAACATGAAAACTTATTGTTAAGTGACAATAATGATAATGATGATGATGTTAATGATTAAATGACAGCTTAGACGATTGATTAACTGATTATGTTGTTGATTCATTCAATGAAAACTTATATATAATATTAACAGTGAAAATATTTATCAACAATAAATTAATCATTTGGATATTAAGGTGAAGCAAAACAACAAGAAGAGCTGGAAAAAAGTTCTAATCAATTATTTAAAAGTTAAACGATAATAATAATAACAAAATGGAACAATTAGTTAATCATTTATATGGTTAATTATTATTAAGTGTAAAAGTTCAATTAGAGAATCAAAAGTGGGTGGTAATTGATCATTCATGAGATTTTTTTTTTCTCATTCATTTCTGGTTAGTTTTTGTTTTCTCCCATTCAATGTAATCAAATTAACTTTAATTTGGCTCATGAATCAAAATAACAGCAAAATTGATCATATTTTGATTTCCCTTTGATTGTTTATGGTGTTTATCTGGTAATTTAATAACAAATCTTTCAAATCAATATACAAACGGAATCTGAATTTTATTTGCCTTTTAATCTGTAATAATGATGATGATCATATTATAGCTTCAGATTAGCTTTCTTCATCCTTTCAACTTCATCATCATCAACTTTATCATCTTTTATCATCATTTTCATCTTAATCTTTTCGATGTTACCATTTTTTTTTCTTCTTCTTCTTCTTCTCGTGATAAACATTCATTCAGTTCAGAAATGATGAAGAAAAGAAAAAATCAAAACAAAACACAGAAAAAGAGAGTGAAACATAAAGGAATAGGAAAAGGATGATGATAAAATAGGAGATGAAGAAGAAGAAGAAGATGATGATGATGATGATGATGATAAAAAGGAAAAATGAATGAGAAGGTATTTGCCAATTGGAATCCGTTTTCACTGTAAATGCGATAAAAATATTAGGAAACAATGTTAACTCGTTTAAAAATCTATAAGCAGAAAGTAAACAGAAAGAGAAAGTTAGGAAGATGAAGAAGATGAGAATAATTGAATAGATGATGAGGAGGAGGAGGAAAAGGAAGAGGAAGGAGAAAGGATGAAGACGCAATAAGTTTCCAATGGCATATGATATTTATCGAAACCAATTTTTTCACGTCAATCTTTTTCTTCACTTTCTCCTATTCTGGTTACAATAAATGTAATTGGGAGTTAACAGGAATGTGAATTAGAGTAATTTATCAAACACCAACACCTTATCCACTCACTAACTCAATGAATCTTTTTTTGAGGTTCGAGCAAAAGAAGAGGGTGGTAATGGTGGTGGGGTTGATTTTCTGTTCTCTCACAAAAAGATGAGGATGATGATGGAAATGATGAAGATGATGGTGGCTGGGAAAAGAAAAGTGGGCTCATAATATATAATATATATTATATATGTTCTCACTTTTTTTTTATGAATTCGAAATAACATTTTCTTCCTTCTCCCATTTCTCATCTTCTTTTCTCTTCCTAATACTCTCTATGTAATTTAATGTTTATTCAATTTGGATATTTGTACAATTTACAATAGAGATCAATGTAAAATAAACTGTTTGTTACCTAATTTTTCACTTTTTTTATATTATCATTATTTACGTTTAGCAATTTATTTTACTGGATATTTACAGTTACCCATAAATCAAATTATATCTGCGATTTATTATATTTACAAGTAATCTTTGGCTTATCCGTTATGTTTGATTGTTTTTCAATTAAAGTTAATTGTTAACACGTTTCATGTTGAAGCGGTTTTTTCAAGTTGATCGTTTTTCTTTTTGTTTTTGTTTTTGTTTCGTTAATTGCAATTAACTTTATATATTTATTATTATTACAAGTTTTTAATTGCTCTCACTCTTGGTTGTTGACCTTGTCTTGGAGATTTAATTTTACAACTATTATTATATCTGTTAATCTGTTGTTTAATTGTTGTGGAAATGATTAGATTGATATTGGATTTATATTTTTCCGAGATTCTCAATGACAAATAGACAATGAAAGATCATGAAAAGATTGATTAATTTATGCAAATACTGTGCAATTGTAATGACAATTTGTAGAAAGTGTATTAATTGCAATCATTTAATCAACTTTTAATGTGTTATCCAAGGTACACCTAATCATGTAACAATGTAACAAGATGCTAAGATGAGGATGGAAGATGAAGATGAAGATGAAGAAGATGATGATGATGATGATGTAAAGAATGCAAGAAGAAAAGAGACTTTGGAATAAGATGATGAAGAAAAAAAGGAAGAAGAAAAAAAGCAAGATGAAAGGAAATGAGATTGAAAAGGAGAAGATGAAGATGAAGATGATGCAGCAAGAGAGAAAAAGAGAAAGAGAGAGAAAGAGTAGAGAATAAAATAGAAACAGGCACAGGAAAGAAGAAGAAAAAAAAGATGAAAGATATTGAAAAAGAAGAAGAAGAGAATTACACCAAATCATTAATCAGTTTGAGTCGAAGATCATCAATATTATTCAAAACCAGACCATTCCAATGCATATCAATGCCTTTTTTCATCTTCTTTTCTCATCATCATCCTCCTCATCTTCATCTTCATCTCCTTCTTTTACACTCTCTTATATTATCTCTCTCTCTCTCTCTCTCTTTCCATTTTCCTCTCCTTCTTGTCCTCTCTTTCTTGTTTCAGGTAAAGAGATACATAAAGTTGAAAAGCCTTGGGGTGGTTCGGCCAAAGGGGAAACATAAACACAATGTTGTTGCCACATCTAAGGCTTAGATTTTGTCTTATATTATTTTTTGGGTTCCTCGGTGGGGTGTATAAGGCTGGATAATAGTTGATATCAGAGAGAGAGAGAGAGAAGATCCTGTGCTAATCCAGCAAAACCAAAGCGAAGCGAACGACGTAACTTACAAATGTCAATATGATGATAGCCAAGCAGGTAAGTGAAAAAAAGTAATGTTGTTGATGATGTTTGATGATGATACTGATAATCATAATAATAATAAACTATTGAGAGCGCATACATTTTGAGCAATGAGATGTCGCCTTTCACAAAATCCATGATTAGGAAAAAAAGACGATTAATTTTGTTTGCAATTTTTGCTGCTTTTTTTCAATCATCATTGATGTTTCATAAAAGTGTATCAAAAGCAGCATAAAAAGAGCAACGAGAGAGAGAGAGAGAAAAGTTTGACATCTAAACTGTACATTAGATTAGGAGAATGATTAATTAAATTATCAAATAATACGAATCAAAGTTGATCCTCAATTTTATCCGATTCTTTCTTTTGGTAACGTAACAATAATATCGTAATGATTATGATTATTGTCCAGAAAATACAAAATCCCGATTGATGGAAGAGTTTTTTTTATTTCAATTTTATTATCTTTCTGATAATATAATTGGATTATTATAACATTTGATTATCTGATTTGCTTCAACTATCATCATGTTTACCTTTAGATGATAATTATTAATGGTTAATCAACAAACAAAGGAATAGATTTCTGGTTAATTACTTGTAAATGTTAATATTGATTTACCTTGAAGGCTAATAACTTGTGGTTAGTTTTCCAATCACTTTTTTAGCTTCACAAAGAGACTAATGAAAGTATTTATATAAAGGTAAACAAAAAAGAAAACTAATTAATCAACTTTAATTGGAATTGACAATAATTATGGTTAAGATGAAGATGGAGATGATTTTAATTTCTCAGCCATCATCATGGTTACCGTTCAATCATTTCATCAGGTAATTGTTACGATTGTCAAGTGAACATTGGATGCTAATTATCATGTAAACTAATTAACTTGAAATTATCAACAAGTTTACAGAGGTAAAAGATTCCTGAACAGTTTTTTATTCATCAATTTGTTGTTCTCTATTCATAATTAATCATTATCATCATGATGAGAGAGAGACAGATGATGATGAGGATGATGGTGAATATCATCATTCTCTATCAGGTCGATATTATTGTATAAAAAATTAAATTTTTCTTTTCTTTTTTATCCACTTTTCGTTTGATCTATCGATTTATTGATTAGTCCAGAAAAATATTGTTATCATTTTTTCTCTCTCTCTCACTTTCAGAACTATATCATGATAATAGGAATAATATTTTCTTCTCACTCGAAAATGTTGATAATCTTTCACCGGCAAAGTTTTTCTTCTTCTTCTTCTTGTTTGGCAATTTTTCAATATTCTCTCCAAATAATATTATCATTTATCAGATCATCAAAGTCTCAGAACTTTTTTCTCTCTCAACTCTCCTGGAAATTTTTTCTTCTTAAAAAGTTCTATGTAAAAAAAACACAGAAATAGGTAGAAATGAGTTATAGGTACTATTCAGTTTTCCATGATACATTATTATTATTATCTCAATGAAAGATGTCCAGGGTAAAGATGAAGAGGATGATAAAAATGAAAATAAGAAAGAGAAGAAGAGGAAAGTTTCCTTCTGAATATGACAGGATAGTTTTTCTTTCCTTATGAATACAATTCAGGGGAAAAATATCCTTCTTTTGAAAAGTATAGGATTTTCATGATGATGTAAATTGAAAATGAATCCATCATCATCATCATCATCGTGTTTCCAGTTTTCTCTTCATGGTTTTGTCATGACAATTTCTTTTCTTCTTTTTTTTAAATAAAATTTCAATTCTGTTTTTGCTCCTAAAAGGTGATGAGTTCATGCAACTCCATGAATATATGAGCTGCCATGTAAAGGCAATTTCCTATTACCCACTCTGTAAGTTTGGTCGTTTCTTATTAATTGGAGGCTGATGAAATATTCGAGGTGAATGGATATCAAGGTTATCATCAATTGATTATCTCTCTTGTTGTGTTAGATAATCAAACTACTCATCTGATGTAGTTGAATTGGATAAATTTGTTCCAAAATAAAATAGTTTTCTCATTAAATTCGTGAGGGTAACATGGGAA